AGAAGGACAACACTAAATTCAAAATTTGAGTAGGGTCATTTGGAGGCTCTGTGGCATGCTATTTGCACCAGTTCTCTGTATTTGAATCTTCGAAAAAGTATGGTTAGTTTTGCACAAGCATTCACCACTATAATCAAATCATATATGCAGATAGTCTGGCCATTCGCTTGTAAAAAAAATGAGCTGCTGTACTCTCATACATAAAAAATGACAATGTATGTATATATTTTTTTCCTCACCAGTAGTATGACTGAGTTTTATACTCAATGCTAAGTAAAGACTGACCATTACATAATTATGTAACGGTTTCTACTCAGCACTTGAAGATTGCATTGTGCATGAAACTTCGTCATGCTAATGGTAGTGGGGGGGGGGTGTATATTTATTAATATATACTTAATAGCTCTGTTTTATTACATTGAGCACTATTTTATTAACACCAGCATTCAAAGTGCAATATATATATATATATATATATACCTTTACAGGTTTTTCATTATTTTTTATGCATGATGTATAAATTGTTAAAAGATGGTCTTTCAGTAAGTACTCTTAAAAAAACAGGAATATGGTTATATATAAGCAATGTGGACATAGGTATCAATACTGCTTATATTTGCATATAACATCTTTGATATAGAACAGTTTTCTCCTATAAATATAGCATCCATTAAAAACTATATCTTAGCTCACACACTTTTATATTGAGAACATTTCATAATCGCTATACAACTGCAGTTGTGTTTCGATGCTTATCAAATGCATCTCATCAGGCGATTGTAAATTACTGGCAAGTGAACAATTTATTTAGATTTTCAATCGTTCACTCACCAGTAATTTACAATCATCTGATGAGATGCATTTGATACACATCGAAACCTGACTGCAATTGTGTAGCGATTTTGACATGTTTTCGATGTAATATCCTAAAATAAATAATATTGCTCTACTTTGTATTGAGCCCTCTTTTAAATTAAATGTTACGAACATTGGACACATACTCTCTTCATTCTCCTCTTACCTGGAGATATATATATATGTTGAATGTAACATCAATCAACCTACTTTGCTAGTTAACTTTTCAAACCTTCAATTTAGATATTCAAAAGAATAAATTTATTCAATAAAATCGCCATTTGTTTCAACCACGGCCTCCAGACAACTTCAGCATATCTTGCAACTCTTCTGGATTGTCTCCTTTTTTAAGTTGGTGAATGCTGCCATAATCTTTGCCTTCAGTTCATCTTTGGTCTTACAAGGAATTTTGTTAGTCTCTCACTCAACTGCGTCCCACACATAATAATCAAGGGGATTGCAGTCAGGGGAGTTAGGTGGCCAGATGTAAGGGGTGATGTGGTAACAGAAATTGTCTGATAGTCATGACTGGGTTTTCCTGCTTGTGTCATTAGGTCTTCCAGCAGGCACTCTCTTGACTCAAGGCAGCACTACCTCCTCAAAGTATTTGATGTAGACCTCCATATTGAGCTTGAGGCCCCCACCAACAAAGTCAGGAGTTTTTTTTACTTATCAGAACAGTCAGTTTTCCAAGCTGCCATAGGTTTGTCATCACCATTAAACCCATTCAACTCTTTCTGAATCCTCTGCACTGTCCCCAGATTGACACCCAAACATTATGAAATGTTTGTATTGTTTGTTCTAGCACAAATATCAACAATCCAGCATGCCATTTCCAAATTTCTGGTGGAGTAAATTGCATCATTCATGGTGCTCTTTTCTCACAGACGGTGCCCAACTGACCCTACAAAAAAAAAAAAAATACTATGAAAAATGTCTGTCTGTATAATTTTAAACTTTTGGTTAGCATAGATTTTTTTTTTGTACAGCACAAAACCCTTCAGGAAATTGGCCACTTATTCACAATACTCTCTTAACAGCATTTACATTCAGACTCTTGTTCTTGTTTTTGTTATCAGAATGTTTTCAGCTATTGTGCCCCCCAACATTCATCAGGTGTATATGAATCTGGGCCACCTACAGGGTAGTCATCAAACCCTGTAGAATAAAGTGAAAGTGCTGAACAAAAAAGGACACTGGGAGATAGACTGATAAAAGAACCAGCACATATGCTAGGCTATGAGGATCCCCTTAGTAGACCTAGCATAGAAATACAATATGATGTGGGAGCCAGTAATAAAGAAAGGAAGACAAATGACAGCAAGACTGAAAGAATCAGAATATATGCTAGGCAACAGTAAAGATTATGAATGTTGTAAAATCTTTTGAAAATATATTCTGGAGAGAGAATCAGCACATATGCTAGGCTATGAGGATCCCCTTAGTAGACACAGCATAGCAATACAATATGATATGAGAGCCAGTAATAAAGAAAAAGAGAGCAATGACAGCAAGTCTTCAGCAGCAGTAGCTGTAACAAAAAGATAAAAATTTCAGTGAATGTATGGCAAGCAACAGCAGCTCTCATCAGCAGTCAGATTAGGTTTAAGGCTCCAAGTTCTCCACTCAGGAGTGTCCTATGGAACAATAGTCTAGTGTATTAAAGTGTTGGTTTGTGAATCTGGTGACATAGTAATTGTGAGTTCAATTCCGGGACTGGGTAAGTAGTATGGACTCAGTGTAAATAGGGCAAGCAATATCTGAGCAATACTAAAAATAAAAACTCTTTAGACATGAGCAGTGTAACAAGAACAGTCTCTCCCCACTAGATTAAATAAAGGGTTCAGTTTGTAATTCTGGATCAATATACACAATGGTCAAAATGTAGTTTTTGTAATGCTCATTTGTAGGAGAGACTTTGTAAATCACAGATTCAATAATAGTAATGCCTTCGAACAATACTTGATCAGACACTAATTCCCACATATATATTTTACCTTTACCTGTCACGTGATCTAATTATTTCAAGATGAGGTGAACTGTACTTGCTCTCTGGCGATCTGTGTTCAAACCCAAGTGTCGGTAGCAACACTTTATTCTTATATGACAATATTGATAACAACAAAGATGAGGATAATAGTCCCAATGTAAGTAGTGTAAATAATAACTCTTCATCCTAGAAATTCAGACAGAAACCCATTTAAATTAAAAAAAAACTGGCTCCTAATTTTCTAGACAAAAAAACGTTTTTAAAAGAATGAACTCATTCCTAAAATAGTGAAATTCCTCTACTGCCCTTAAGTGACTCTCATAGGCTGGCTTATTTTATATCCTATCCTCTGATTAAAATCAACTCTTAAGTGTTTTTGGAATAATGAGTGGAACCCACTGAGTGTAACAGATATAAATTTTATCAGCTTTGAGGTTAATCAGGAAATGAAATGGTAGTGATGAAAATTAGTATAGGATGGTAGTCAAGTGATATTTCTAAAGTCAAAAAAGGAGAAAAAAAAAACTAAATTTTTACAAGAGAGCAACACTTTTTCATTACTTTAAGAAATTAAAAATAATTATTAAATTAGTTTTGTGTGAATTAAAAAAAAATGTCAATTTCAGAATTAATCAGGTTAATTAAAACATAGTTTCAAAAAAAAAGAAAAAATGTCTGTGTTTTCAGGAATCAAACATCCTCACCCCAGATTTATCCCGAAAATAGTTCACAATTTTTTCTTATACACTGTGAAAGATATAAATGTGAGAGAGGTATCTTGTGCAGTCAGAAATTAAAGCCAGCAAATTTATTTTTTATATTTCCAGGATGGGAGGCATTTTCTTTATTGAAAAATAGGAATGTCTCTTGACAAAATGTACAATGTCTTTTATCTTTTCTCTCCAAATTCAATACAAATTTCCTATTGGACAATCAATTCCTTAAGTGAATTTTCACCTGAAAAAGTAAAATTTGATAACCTGATCAGGTATGTTTCTACAGAAATTAGTTTTCATATTTTCTGTATCATTAAGTTGACAATTATTTCTACTTCTATGTGTCTTGTCCCTTCAGGGTGTGGAATCTTTTCAAAGGATTTTATTTATAAAATAGATATATAATATCTATGAATAGATTCTCTCATTTCTTTCAAAGAATATTTGTCAGAAATACCTAAAAGTATTCCCAATGTAAATTTTTAATAAATTTCAAACTGAAATGAACCAAAAGACAAAATTAACCTCTGTTGGAATCGGAATTGTTTATCTCCTGACAATTACGAATGGAATATTCCGAGAAAGAATGGGTGACGAAAAATGGTTTCTTGAATAGTTTGTACCTGGTGGGTTCACCTTTCAAGAAATTTTGAAGGCTTTCCTTCTTTATTTATAATTAGTATTTCTGGGGTTATTTTACTTTTAAACAGGATCTCTTTAAATCCTTGTCACCAGTATCCAGGTAAAGTATGAAGACCTATCATGATTTCCATTCTTTACAGTCGAATCTTTTTAAGTACTACTCATTTATTTTTAATCATGCCAGGAAGAAATAATCTATCATGATTCTATATTATTAGTCAGCTTCTGATGATGACTTTAATTCCTAAACAATATAACATAAACACTAGTTTCCACCAACAAAACTAGCTATACCATGAGTGTAACATTTTTATGCTGCTACTTGCCTGTGAGAATGGTTTGACCAAGTTCTCATTTTTTTCTGTTAACATTGGGGCATACCAGTAACAAGACTTTTTGTTAATATATTTAGCAATGGAACAGTATGCAGAAATAAGTGAATTCATGCCTTTCTCCATTTGAACTAGTGTCCTCAGCTGAAATTTTAATTCTGTTTTCATTGTTGATATCCTTCCCCATCTAATGCAGTTAGATAATTATAATAAAGGCTACACGAAAAAGTGATTAGATTAAAGAAATAAATCTATAATTCCGTTTCACTTTCTTTTCAAGAATCAAGTGTTTTTTTTTGTTTTTTTTTTTGTTTTTTTTTTTTGTTTGTCTTTTTCAATTCCTGATATTATTTAACATTGTCTTTTTCAATTTCTGATATTATTTAACATTGTCTTTTTCAATTCCTGATATTATTTAACATTGTCTTTTTCAATTCCTGATATTATTTAACATTGTCTTGGTAGATGTGAAACATGATTACACGTTATCTGAAGAATATCGAAAGAACCATTATATGGCTGGCCTGCTACTTCAAGAACTCAAACTTGCATTATATGACAGCAGAGATGTGCACCGTTGTGCAATTACAGTACTTAGGAACCAGATTGCAAAACATGCATTTGATGACCGCTATTGTGCTAAGGTGAGTTTAACAAATTTCTTAATTTATTTATGAAGCTGTGAACAACTAAGAGAAAAGATAGAATGATCATCTATCAATGGTTGATTTAATGTCTTTTTAAAAGATGTTTTTTTTATAATAACTCCAATAACTTTAATAAACTATATAAAGCTTTAACTCCAGCTTTGTTTTGATATCTAAATTGTTTAAAATTTGACAAAAATTTTTCAAAGCAAATTTGGGTTATTGAGATGATTTGCATAATAACTTCAGACAGACTGTAGGTATTTATACCAATGACACAACATTTACTTCTATCTTAATAGTATGTCTGATGATCGGTCCGATAAAGTAAAACTGGCAGTTACTGTTGAAAATGACCTCCAGTCAGTTGTTATCTGGGGCAAGACATACCTTGTAAATTTTAACGTCTCCAAAACTATCTTTTAATCAACATAGAGAACTATTTTTGCCTCTCATCAGTATGGCTAATGCTGATCTCCAGAAGAACAATTCATTACGACTTTTTAATCTCACATTTTCCATTGACATGAAATAGAATGATTTTATTGAATCAAATGCTAGATTTGAGTCTACAAAACTTGGTTCACTGTGTTGTGCCAGATAATTTTTCTCACCAGAATTCATCTTGCATTTTTATAAATCTACCATTCATCCATGCATTGAATATTGCTGGTATATCTAGTCTGGTGTTCCTGCTATATATCTGAAGATTCTTGACAATATCAAAAGAAGGGTCTGTAATTTTATTAGCCCTTTCCCACTGACATGATGTGTCTTTCCTCTGCCTTTTCTATAAATATCTTTATGGCAATTGTTTTAATGAACATTTCTCCTTGGTACCTTGACTGCATGAATTTAAGTGTACGACCAGATTGCTAACAAGGTATCAGTGTTTTATTGTCAAAATATTTAGATATAATTGTAAGTTCTATTCTAATAGTTTTTCTCGCTTCCTTGCCATCTATGTTCTTCAAAAATTTAAATACATCAATTGGCATCTATCTTCCTGATTCCTGTTCTTTTATTGTCCTTTCTCCTCATTCTTTTTATTCTCTTTCACTTTCAGTGATCCCTTCCATCTTAGTGCCATTATTGCCTTGCTTGGAGTAAAATGATTAAAAAAAAAATGCAATGAATAATCTTATAGATTCCTTAGGATTTAAGCAGTCTGCATGCCATGTGGAATTAGTAAATTCTAAACATTTGGAATAATTCCATGTATTGATCAGTTATTACAATTTAGTACAGGAAATTGAACATAGAATGAGTTGTGTTTGGCGTAGTTTTGTTAAACACTGCAGATTGCTACAAAACAAAAAGATTAAAACTCTTTCAGAAATATCTAAACTGTCAGTTGTATACAACCACTTTCTCAGATCAATGGTTAAAAATGGTTTTGAGCAAGTGAATCATGTGGATCTTGGCAAAGACCATCTTTCTTTGAACATTGTAGACTGGTGCTACAGAATCACAAAGAACTTGTATCAAATAACAAATCATATCAGATAAGGACTTTCAACGGAAGCAGCAACTAAAATGGATCACATGTAATTTGAAAAGAAAATAATGACATAATCAAGATACTGACGTTCCACACGACTTCAAACAAAAGGTTAAGAAGGAAACTCCAATCAATACTGGAAAGAGTGATAACAGTTACTGGACTTGAGAAACCTATTTTCATGAAAAATTGTTTTAAGAGGAAGATTGGATAAATTTTGACCAATAGCAGCACTGGCTGCTCGGTCAATGAACACTGAATGTTTCTTGATAAGGAAATGGCTAATATTACCATTCCATTACAAATGTAGTAACCATAAAAAAAAAAACCAAAAGAAATGATGATGGGAGGATGTATGGGTTAAAACGTCGCTCTCTGATGAGGTTGTTTATGCACTCTTGTTAGAATCAGTGTTATTCCCCAGCACTTCTGCTTCGGATCACAGTTTCACACACACAGTGAGGATTGCAAGGCTAAAAAGTTTTTAGTTTGACCTAGAAGCCCATGAAAAAAAATGTGTGTGGTCATTTGGTCAAATGAACTCTGTTAACAATTGTATACACATTCCATTATATATATGTAGATTATGGAGTTAAAGTAAAAAAAAAAAAAGTAGTAATACTTTACTTTTATGAAATTACAATAAGTAGGACAATGTCCAGTTCAAGTCACAGAAGTGCAATCCTCTAATTTTATAAAAGAGTTTATTGAAGAAAAGATTCACCAAGTGGATTACCAAAAAATCAGTAGGATAGAATAATCTTACCCACTTAGTCTTAAAAAAGAAATGAGGTGAATGTTTATTTTTCTAAATTTATAGAGATAATATTTAATTTTCTGATAGGCTGTGGCATCAAATATTTCATTGGAAACCACTTGCATATATTTTTTTTAAATAGTCTTTCACTGTAAAGAGCTGTAAATATTATATTTTACTCTCCTGATTAAGATGGACTTATCTGAGAACATCTGCTTATATTTCTGAGATGAGTTATTTACCTTATTTACATTATTTGGACTATTATCCTCATCTTTATTGCCATATTTACGACACTTGAACCATTGAATGCTCTGTCCTTCCTCAGATGATATACATTGGAATTTTGAACTGAACACTTTTAGAACAATCTACCCCAGTGGACTAAATAATGGGTTTGGTTTGAAATTTTATTATAGGTCACCTGAAGAAGGCTGGAGTATAGAACAGCCAAAATGTTGTGAATATTATCTGAGTACTTAATAAAATCAGTTTGTAAACATACAACACTAGCTTCAAGTTTTCCACCAATTAGCCATTGATTAACCCATGTTGCATTTCAAATCTCAATCTTTGTTGGTCTGTACCAAAAGCCTGGAAAGGGCAACTTTTTTTACTACCTGTTCCCTCTTTGATCAAAGTGGATGCCGCTTAGAAAACCAAACTTCAAAAGGAACCATCTGCTGAAAGACTTGAGATCTAAATAAAACCACCTTTTCCCTTTCTATCTGGATGTCCATTATATCACAAGTTAATTAAAGCATTATATAAGCAAGAGGTTAGATATATAATATTTAATATTGCATAAGCAAGAGGTTAGATATATAATATTTAATATTGCATAAGCAAGAGGTTAGATATATAATATTTAATATTGCATAAGCAAGAGGTTAGATATATAATATTTAATATTGCATAAGCAAGAGGTTAGATATATAATATTTAATATTGCATAAGCAAGAGGTTAGATATATAATATTTAATATTATATAAACAAGAGGTTAGATATATAATATATTTCATAAGCAAGAGGTTGATATATAATAACTGTTTAAGCAAGAGGTTAGATATTGAAATTTTCTTATATAAACAAAAGATATATTTCATAATGGTTTAATTCAGATTTGATAGTTGTAACTAATGGTGATAGTTGTATGTTTATTTTATAAATTTAAATGATTCAAGATTTTTTTTTTCTGACTTGAAGGTGGCTGGCTTTTTTTTTCTGACTGATATGAAGCTGGCTTCTTTTTTTTTTTTTTTTTAAATCATTTTACCCCTAGCAAGGCAATAACACCACTAAGAAGCAACGGGTTACTGGGTGTAAGAGAATATGAGAAAAGAAAACATGATTAAGAGTGAGAACACTAAAAGAACAAAAATTAAAAAGACAGAAGATAATGATTCACATTGCTTTTGAATCTTTGAAGATCAAAGTTGACTAGAAGCAAGATGCCGGATGAGAGTTCCACAAGTGAGATGTGCGATAGAAGAAACTAATATCACTCAAGAATTTTGTTATGGAGATATTTAGCTAATACAGAATACATTATTTTCCTTCCTCTCCCCCTTTTATTTTCCTCCTCCTCCTTTCTCCTTTTCTCATTATTTTCCTTCCTCTCCCCTTTTATTTTCCTCCTCCTTTCTCCTTTTCTCATTATTTTCCTTCCTCTCCCCCTTTTTTTTTCCTCCTCCTTTCTCCTTTTCTCATTATTTTCCTTTCTCCCCCCTTTTTTTTCCTCCTCCTTTCTCCTTTTTCTCATTATTTTCCTTCCTCCCCCTTTCTCATTATTTTCCTTCCTCCCCCTTTCTCATTATTTTCCTTCCTCCCCCCTTTTATTTTTCTCCTCCTTTCTCCTTTTCTAATTATTTTCTTTTCTCTCCCCCTTTTATTTTCCTCTTCCTTTCTCATTGGAGAGCCATATTCAAATTCCAGTTGGGTTTGTTACATTCATTTACATGCAAATACACTTGGGATAAGTATGAATCCATCTCCTCCCCAGCTATAGGTTAAATAGTAAGACTAGTATCTGGAAATATCATTTTTCACAAAAAAAAATTTACTGCACTATTTGCTCACAAAATAAAAGTATTCTTACAATTCAAGATATATTACAGATTTTAATTAACAAAATGTTAATAAGCTGTAAAAATACAAATCAATTAATCAGTCTTATTTTCCTTCCCAGATTTTTTTTTAACCTTTTTTTTCTATAACCTTTGGTTCCAAAGTATTGTTGAGTCAAATACTTTTTATATTAATGTTTATTCAATACAAAGCCCAAGAGCCATTCCAGGTAGAAGGTTACTGTGTGCCATTGTATGAGCATAAGAAAAGGCAAGAAGTTTAGTTCATGAGTTTATGTAGGAAAGATAAGTTAATCCTAGATTTGAAAAAGTCTTGTATAGGAAGAGAAATTGAAAAAAAAAAAAAAAGCACTAGCAGCATAAAGCACAAATGAATTTTATTGAAAAGAAATAACAAAGGAATGTTTACCCTTAAAAAAACAATTTTTTTTATATATATCTTGGGGTCAGTGAGGGATCAAGGATTATATGAAGGGGTTTTTGATAATCTAAGTATTAAAATTTGTTTTAATACTTTTTAAGATAATCTGCAATGCTGAGAAATGTATCTTTTCTATTGTATTTGTCTTCAGATCACAACTCATTTAAAATCTATCACATTTATTATCTACTTTAATCATTAGACATCCAGATGTAACCTTTTATTAAATAATATATTTTGGCATTTTACTCTTTGACATTTTATTTCATCTAGTATCATAGTCATGATTCTAGATTAGTATTTATTACTAAGGCACTTAATCTATTTGGCTTTGAAATTTGAGATTTCTTTTGGCTTCTATATTTTGACTTTCACTTGACTGCTTTTAACCTTTGAAATGTCATCAGTTAGCTTTTCCATTCTATCACTTAATATTTTCACAGTTGCCATAAACAAATGTGTTCTATGCTTGTTTTTGTTGACATTTATACTACAAGGGTATTTAGTATTTTACAAGTTTAACTGTTAATGAAAAAGTGCTTTGTTTTTTTTCTTCTTGAAATTGATGTCCTGGCCGATTATTAATAAACAAAAATTTGCCATGAGAAATAATTTATATTGATCATTCCATCACAAAATTTGTTTATTTGCTTTTAAAATAATTTCTCAGTGTAGAACTTTAATTTACTAACCGTTGGTGACTTTTTGAACAGTCATTGTCTCTAGTCAGTGTTCCTTCTCACCCCATGTTCTTACTTTCCTTTTTGTGATGTCTAACATTTTCTTTATCGAGGAACAAATGCCATTTTAGTTCTTTCCTATTAGGTTTTCTTTTCAGAGAAAATTATGATAGAAAAATGATTATTGTTCAATTTGCTTCCTTACAGATTACATTACTTTTCTATTTATTATCTGTAAAAGGGAAAATATTTATCTTATTTCTATGTGGACTATTGCCTCATCTTTGTCATTATCACAATGTTTTGGAGATTCTTGCCAATCTAGGGAATTTCAAACTGAACCCTTTATTTAAACAATGGGGATATTTCTTTTTCATTCCACTATGTGGTAATAACAAGAAAGACTGTTAAACAGAATGGTAACACTTTTCATCAAACAACAGAAAAAATGTCCACTGAGGAGAAATTTATAAAAACTTAAAATAATGCCTAAAAGTTAAATCCACTTTGTCAGGAACAGAAATAGGCTACTGCCTCTGTTTAGAACACAGCGATTAAGCAGAGAAGTAGGAGTCTAATTTGTCAGCCAAAAATGGTGAGTTCAATTCTAGGTAAGACCACAAGAGTCAGCATCGTTAACAAAGATGATGACAATAATCTCCATGTAAATAATAATTCATCATATCAGAAATTCACACAGAAATGATTTGGCTTTTTAATTTATTTTTGTCTTTTTATTTATTCTATTCAAATTTGTGCTTATATACAAATAAGAGTATATTATAATTAGCATCTCCCCACTTAAGTATGAATGCTGAACCTATGCTATACTATTCAGCTACAAATTGCTTGGATTTTTCTTTTTGCAGTCTTTAATTTAGTGTATTTTAGGTGCACCTTGATTCTATACCTCAGGTGATAAGTTTTCATAACGTAGATGTTACATACAAACATAGTTTAATGTGAAAAACTAAGTGTTGTGAAAAAGTAATTTCTTGAGTTCTTTAAAAACTATTTTTTTCTTCTGTTTAAATTTCTGCAATGAGGAGTTATCATTATTTACATTATTTACATTCAGACTATTGTCCTAATCTTTGTTGTTATTATCATCTAATTGCCTCCCCTCTGAATTTCTGCAATGAGGAGTTATCATTATTTATACTATTTACATGTAGACTATTGTCTTAATCTTTGTTGTTATTATCAATCTATTGCCTCCCCTCTGAATTTCTGCAATGAGGAGTTATCATTATTTATCAATCTTATTGTTATTATCAATCTATTGCCTCCCCTCTGAATTTCTGCAATGAGGAGTTATCATTATTTATACTATTTACATTCAGACTATTGTCCTAATCTTTGTTGTTATTATCATCTAATTGCCTCCCCTCTGAATTTGACCATTTGTGCCCTCTAGTTTTCATAGGGTGTATGTCAATCCATTGCCCATGTCTAGGGATATTCCTGTAGGTTATCCGGATGGACATACGCCTGATGAACAGCCGAAATATTGTGATAACAACAACAACAATAAGGACAATAGTTCACATGTAAATAATTTAAATAAAAGATTAATTCTGTACATTTAGTCCTTTTTTTTTTTTTTGTCTTCATTTGATGAGATTTATTGTTTGTTTCCCCACTGTATCATTTCAGGGTCACCAGGGACGTATCGCTGCTCTCTACTTGCCGTTTATTCCAATTCTTCTGGAAAGCAAAGACAGGCTGCTGGATAACGCAGACGTGTCTGGAACTGCTGGACTGCATGCTTCCTACCAGAACATCGACTTGAGTTCCAGCAACGACTGCCTCAACCAGTCTGATCCACAACACAAGAGTGTTACAGGCATTGACCAAATTCAGAAAAGGGATTCGTCCTATTTTGATGTCATTGCTGGCCGAGGTATGGTTTTACTCCTGTGTTTGTGTGTGAAGAAGTGGGGGAGGGGAATCTTCATTTCTCATAAAATCCTAATATTTAAGTTTTCATAAATACTTTAGCTCAATATAAGAAATTTAATGAAACTTAGTTTTCATAAATGATCTTACTGATGACATCAGCTCTTGACTTGGTATCTATGCTGGTAACACAACCATTTATTCCTGTCTTGATGCTAAGTCTGTTCAGTTCGATAAGGTCAAAATGGCAACTGATCTCAAATACTACCTGTAAGTCTGTTATCAATTCGGGCAAAGAATGGCTTGTTAATTTTAATGCTACTAAAACAAAACTGCTCTCTATTAATGATCAGACCCCACTTTCTATCTTCTATCAACATAACAGATGCTAACCTCCAGGAGAGTGGCACATTGCACCTTCTCAGGTTAATGTGTTTTTTCCTGATATGGAAAGACTACACTGAATCCATTGTTAGGTCAGAGCTGCTAACAAAGTTAGTTGACTATGTCATGCTAGACAATTTTTCTCTCCAGAATCTATTTTACATATAAGTTTACCATTTATCCTTGCTTTGATTATTGGTGCTAGATATGGTCTGAAATTCATGCTGTATATCTAGAGATACTTGATAAAATTCAATTAAGAATTTGCAATGTTATTGGTCCTGACCTGCCATCTCAGCTTCAGTCACTTTCCCACCACTGTAATGTAGCTTCCCTGTGCCTTTTCTATAAATATTTTTAGGTTAATTCTTCTGATGAGCTTTTCTCTATTGTACCTAGATGTTATGAATTTAAATGCAGTACTAGGTAGGCAGCAAGGTCTTATCATTTTACAGTTAAAATGGTCAGATTTAATCATATGCTAACAGTTTGTTCTCTCACACTTCTCGCTTGTGGAAGTCTCTTCAGGCTTCTTGCTTCCCAGACAACTTTGATTTTCAAAAATTTAAATGCAATGTCAATAATTACCTTCTGTTTTTGTTTTTTTAATTCTTAGTCTTTTATTTTTCTTTCTCCTTAAGTGTTGTTTTTTATATTCTCTAACACTCAATAATATCTTAATGGCTTTATTGCCTTGCTTGAGAGTGAAATGATTAAAAAAATCAAAACCATAAACACTTTATATAAGTTGATTACTTAAGATGACACAGTGCTGATCACAGACATTGAAAGGAAACTACAAAACCTCTGTCTATATTTCTGAGATGAGGTATTATGTACATTATTTACATTATTCGGATTAATGTCCTCATCTTTGTCGCCATATTTATCACAATGTTTCGGCCGTTGTACACTCCAGCCTTCTTCAGGTGGTTGGAATTTTGAACTGAACCCTTTATTTCGCTCACTGGGGTAGACTGTTCTCGTTCCAACCACCTGAAGAAGGCCAGAGCATACAACGGCTGAAACGTTGTGATAAATATGGCGACAAAGATGAGGACATTAGTCCGAATAATGTAAATAATGTACAAAACCTCCTACAGAAGGTAGCAAAGGAGAGCAAGAAGAAAGGACTAAGCATAAACTACAAGAAGACAGAATACATGGTCATAAGTAAAAAGACGAGCACCAAATGTGACTTACGGGGTCTGGGAGAAATAACAAAATGTCAAAACTTATTGAGAGCTACAAGGAACAGGAAAAAGTGGAGAGCCATTATCAACTATATCCTGAAAGAATATGGTACATGAAAGAAGACAATTTGTGTGTGTATTTTATTTCTTGGAACATTTGAAAATAAATCTGAAGTTAAAATATTCAAAATATTTAATGGTATACTTTTAGTCTTTAGCATTTTTGGATAATATGTTTCAGCTTTCTGCAATCAAATATAAGAAACTTTCCTGGCCTAATTCTGGTATAGAACAGTCACCCGTGTCATAGGCATACACATTTTATAGCGTTCTTTAACAGCTCCTTCCAAGTGGATATGGATATGAAGACTTTGAGAAGACAGACCATAAAGCACAGCAAAATGGTTCATGAGCTTAAAATATTTGTTGGTCTTCATGTTTTGTTAACCACATCCAATAAGAATATACAGAGCTGAGTGTAGTCTTGCTTTATTTGTTAAAAATAGTGATTACTGATTTTGACAACAATATTTCTACAGATACAACCACTGTCCACCTGTACTCAATACATTATAAAAGTGCTAGGTTACCTTGTGGGAAGTAAATAATAAGAGATTTACTTGGTGACTGAGGTAGTTGCATATTTGCTGCCAGTGCATATACGTGATGCTTGGACCACAAATACTGATTTCCCTGGTAGACTCTCCCCACTTAAAAGATTGGTGCAAAACAATCTTCATATTGTGGTAAACTAAGTTTTTAAATAACCATTTGTGACTTCACTGTGGATCTCTCACAGTTTGACAAATTCTGTTCAGGAAAAGTTAACTTGTTGTACACTCTGAAGCAAAAAAAAAAAATAAATTGAACATTTGCTTTATGATGAAAGTCATAGCTTCAGGAACATCAAGAAAGAACTAAAAGAAAGAAATTTGGATATTCTTTTGACCATAATTCAAAGAATTTCCTATGAGAATGAAGAAAGAGAATCAACAGCCAAAAAAATTGGATCAGGAAGGAAAGAGAAGTGCTCACTTCAAGAGTGAATTGAAAACTGGCTAAAATGTCTTTGACTTGCATGAAGTAGTCTTCTTTTTTTTTTTTTTTTTTTTTTTAACTGTTTCTTCATAATGGCCTTGAAGCTATGCCTTTCATCATAAAATATTCTTGGAAATAGAGGGAGGTATCAATCCTAAAATAAACAGATCTTACGTTTATAATGTCAGAAAGAGAAAAAGCTGAATCTCTTGCTTTTGAAGTTTTGAGATATTAAAGCATGTCAAGAATTTTGTTGTCAAAAATAATTCTAAACTCTCCATAGAATTAAATATCTGCAAACAGTGTAAATCAGAAAAATAAGCTGATAAATTCTTTCTGCAAAATTAAATGTTGGCTGATATACTAAAAATTTGGAAAAATGGGATAATTGATCAATTTGCTTTTTTATTGATTTATTTTTTCTCAAAAGAAACAAAACAAAGTTAAATTTTAATAGGAAGAAAATTTTGCAGGAGATGAAAAAAATCCAAGATTTTACAGATTTTTCTTTGAAGCTGAGATCATGTCAAAATGAACTTAAAACAACACTACTCTCTCTCTCTCTCTCTCTCTCTCTCTATATATATATATATATATATATATATTAAGTTTAAAAAGTGGTTAGCATTTATTTAAGTCTGAAATATTTACTGGTTGTGATTTCTCAATGTCTATGCCATTGTCTGTGGATGTATGTATGTGTATATATCGGTGTCTGTGTATGTAGAGTGTATTCACATTTATCTGTGTGTGTATAAGTGTTAGTTTCCACGTCTCCTTTTTTCATAAATGGCTGTAGAGATGTTCATGTATTCCCCCCACCTCTCCTTTTTTTTTTTTTTTTTTAGTGTGTGTGTATGTCTAATAATGTCTGGATGCTTATGTATTATAATCTGATTGTATTTTTGTTGTGTCACGCGTGAGTTTAAGACCATATTCACAAACTTTAAAATAAAAACGGAAAAGAAAGGGAAAAAGAGAAAAAAATATATATACATGTATTATCAAATGACCGGATGTATTGTAGGTATTGTAGCGTATTGTCTTGTCGAACGTAATTTCAATGAAGAAATGAATTGAATAAACATATATATTTTTTCTTTTCTCAATAATTTTGTAGTTTTTAAACTTAATAGTGATTAAATTTGGTTTTTAAAAATTGCCAGTTTTTAATTTTAATATTAAATTTTATCATGTAAATTTATAATTATTAGTTAGTATAAATTATTTTTGATATTACACGTATTTAAAGATCTGAATAGCTATTAGAGCAGGATTTCGTTGTCAAGCTTTTGAATCTTTCTATACTTCGTTTCTGATTGGTTATTCTAGCTTTTGTAACAATGTTTCCCCCTAGTGTAGGATCGCTAATTAATCTGAAACTTTTAAAACCATTTATTTTCTTTTAACATCATCACTTGATAAGACACAGAGTGTGTCAAAACAAAATGGCTATTTTTGTAGTGATTTTATAACATACTTATGTTGTAATTTTTTTAAAAATAAAAATAATATATATATATATATATATATATATATATATATATATATATATATAAATAAATGAAATAAAGTATATTTAGGCAGCAAGTATTCATCTAAACAATTTTGATTAAATGGAACTAAGAAGTTCAGTCTATTAATTTTTTATTGTATTTTTCCTAATTTCAAATATGATATTGTGGATAAACTATCTAGGTGTCTATATATCTGAGATATTATGTACACTATTTATATTATTTGGACTATTGTTTTCATCTTTGTCACCATATTTATTACAATGTTTCATCTGTTCAGTTAGACATTCCAACCACCTGAAGAAGGCCAGAGTGTACAACAGCTGAAACGTTGTAATAAATATGGCGACAAAGATGAGGACAATAGTCCAAATAATGTAAATAGTAAACTGTCTAAAGTTTGTTATATTTTGTTCAAATACTTTTGGCTGTCTTGGACATTTTCAAAAACCAATGTGTTGTTACTGTGGTAGGTAAGATTTTGTTGTCTACATCTTGGTATTCTCTGAAAAGATAAAAGTTTGAAATAGTACACAGTGATATCATATGTAATGATTAATGGGAATATGGTTGCACCAAAAGTATATATGTAACTTTAAAAAATTTTTAAATTAGGAGATCATTTGAATCCCTGATCTTGGTTTTAACCTTATTGCATCCTCAGATGAATTCATCTTCCAATGCTTTATTTAAAAAACAAAACAAAACAATGAATGCTATGTTATTTTTTTAAAATAAATAAACAAATGCACAGAAAGAAGGAAAGAGAAGAAGAAGAAAGGGGATGAAAAGAAAAGTAAGGGTATTATAAATGTATCAATGTGGGTGGGAGGGTAATTGAAGTATACTACATTTTTTTAACCAGCCTCATTTCTTACATATATTAAGCACTTTTTAATACTACAGTTTCCTTGTCCAGTTCAACCGTGACCATTAACCTTTTATGTATTATATCTTCTTCTCTTTCCTTTTTCACATCCTCCTCTGCCCCTTCTATCACATCCAATGCCGTGTATTTGTTTATTTTACGTACTAATACCCTTGAGAAAGGTATGAATCCTCTTACTCTCCCTCCAGCTATGGGTAAAATAGCAAGACAGACTAGGTTCTATAGCCTTGGATGGCAACTGGTCTAGGAGAATGACAACTCTGAATTCAAAACCTGCGGAGGGTCATTGGGAACCTTGTGGCATTCGGTGCACCAGGTCTCTGTATTCATCCCTTCAAAAAGTGTGGATGGTCCTGCACGAAACCTTCACCACTATAATCAAATCTCATGTGCCGGTGTCGGGCTGTCGGTTTCCTGGAAACTGATCTGCTTGACACTCATATGTCGAATCTTGACGGGAGAGTTAACATATATATATATAGTTGTGTGTGTAAAAATTCAGATGTAAATAAATGTATCTGTAAATTCAATAAAATAAATGATAAGTAAAATGCCAAAAACCTAACTTAGTCACCTCCATAATTTTCCTTTCCTTAAAACCATAAGATTTTAAAATATTTTAGAGCATTCTCTAATTCAAAATTTAAATGTATAATGTTATTTTTTCTCTACATCTGTATAGGTTACGAAATAAAATGTCTACATTTGCTTTGATAAAGTTCCTCAATGGATAAAGTGCATTGACAGAAAACCTTTTCCTCTTATCACTTCTTTTATTAAAACGTTTGTATCAATGTACACAAAATAGTTTCTGAAGCATAAAAATTCAACAAAGCAATTAGAAAGTTAGTTAATGAGGACAACTCATGGTCAGAATTGATTGAATATTGCCCTAAAATACCCAGACTTTGTCATCTATCAAATACAGACTCTAGCAAGCATTCTAATATGACCCATTATATTTGGGATTGGTACCGCTCTCCATAGACTAGCACCAGTTATTGGAACAATTAAACCCTTCAAATATTAATGATCACTACGTAAATTTTTGAAAGTGAGTTGGTGTTTTTTATTATTTTTTTTTTCTTCTTCTATTATTATTGTTGTCATCATTAACAACAACAATATTTCAGGGTTAGGATAATGTCTCTGGTTAAACAACAAATTTGGTTACCCTTTCATTCTAATCTATAGATACATCATAAGGACAAATGATCAATTTTTATTAAGGAAAAAAGTATTTACATTTTCAAAATTTTCTGTAGTGATTTGATTTCTGTTTTTTTTTTTTTTTTTTAATTTGTCCTTCAATGTTTCTGAGTGGGTAATTTGCAATACTCATCTCCTTTCTAGTTATTATGACATGCCCGTAACAAGACCTTTGTGGAAATATCTTGAAAATATATTAGAAGAAAGATGGATTTATGTAGTTTTTCCAAAGTGAACATAGACTGCATTGGCTGCAATTTGATCTTGGCTCACCACATCTATTTTTTTGTGTAAAAATCTTTTCTGCCACTTGGCATCTCCACAAGAAACAGGTTTGGTCTGTTTTGTTTTATGGCATATCAACCTCAATAGGTTATTTAATGATGACAAGATTTTTATTGCTACTAATATTTTTTCCAAAAATTATATTACTGGTAACATTTTTTTTTTTCCTTCTAAAATGTATTGCTGGTAATAAGTTGTCCTCAAAAAATGTATTGCTGGTATTAAAATTTATTTTTACACACTTTCATAGTGTTTTGACCCCAGTTTGGGGGTTAACTATTTGTCCATAGATGTGACCCTAACAGGTGCTACCACCCCAGGTCAGGGTGAACCTGGGAACACCAGCAATTAAAAGATTGTCTCAAGCTCCTCAAAATCTGATCAGAGGCTTTGCTGTTGGGTGTAGTTTATCGTCTTACCCAGGATGAAGAAACAGATTTGTTTAAATGGCATAAAGCAATGTTGTAATATTCCTTAAGTTAATTTTGAATTGTTAAAATTTTATTTTTCTAAGCAAATAATTTGTCTAGTTTTTCTGTTTATTGAAAGAACATTATTGGTGGCGGGGGGGTGGGTTTAGAAATGATTGCTTTCTAACATTTGAATGCTAACTACTATTACTACTACTACTCTCCCCAAAAACACACACACATGCACACGGACCCTCATTTGAAATTGGGAAGGGGGATGAGGAAATTTCTCAGTCTGCATTATAAAACTTTTTTCTTTAAATAGGATGTTGTTTGACATTTTCAAGATAAATGTGAGGACAGTTACTGAAAGGATGAACAAAATGAGATGAAAATGGGTCATTGGAATGAATTAGCCAACATTTCAAATCTTTTACTACAAAACCATAGAAATGAAATAAGGCTGGGTCCTTAAAATAATAAAATTAGTTTTTATTTAAATATCTATTAACCAGTGCTTTTAATAATTTCAAGTTGTCCTGTCAGCTTTATTCTATTTGGGTGATTGATTGGCTATTTCCCTCCCTTCACCCATTCCCTTAAATATAATTCTCTGAAAGAGAATTCTTTTCATGCCTTTTTACATTTCTTTTCCTGTCTTTAGCAAGAGAGAAAGAGAACCCTGAATTATAGACATTTGATCTTGAGGCTAAATTGCTGAAAAAAAAAGTTGTCTTTTTATTAACATGGGCAGGACATTTACTCAAATTAACATAATTTTCAATTATAATTTCATTCATCATTTAGAAAATATATACCTTGTTTGTGTGCATGTGCATGCTCTGTGGGCTTTGGGCTTTTTTTAAATTATCATTTCATCCTAAGCAAGGCAATAAAGCCATTAAGATGCAAAGGATTACTGAGTGAAAGAATATGAGCAAAAGAAAACAAGGAGAGGGAACAATAAAAGAACAGGAATTAAGAAGACGGACAATAAATGATTGATATTTATCAGATAGTACTCTAGAAATAAATGCAGGTTTAATTCATATTTTTAGAATCAACACCAAACATATTAAATCCTAAAATGCAGGGAGATATATAGAACCCTACAACACTCACCGAGTCATCAAATATTTGACTGGTCCACTGGTTTAATCCTGCTTCCTGCCCACGTTGTGTTCATCCATTCACAGTCAACTGAAGATGTAGATATGGCTGGAGAGTCTGCGCTAAGAAATTCAGAATGCAGCAAAAAAAAAAAATTAATATCTGCAGAAAACCGGACATACAACTATTCAATGATTGAATTGTTAATGTCTTTTATATAGCAGAAAAGAGTAGTATAGAAAAGAAACGGGTTACAAAAAACAAAGGTAATTGACGTAAAAATGCATACACTGGATTCTGGACAGAGAGAGAGTGTGTTATGATTAACTTGTTGTTAAATCGTCTCAGAACGATATACGATTCTTGCAATGGGGGAATAAGATTTCTGTGCGCGGCTTAAAGTTTATGGTGGCATTCCTCCTTAGTAGTAATAACAGTAGTAGTAATATTCATGGTAGCAGAAGCAGCGGTACTTATATCAACAGTACATGTTAGCGGACGCTTCATTCCAATCTCTGACAGCACGTTCTCTCCTTGAGTCTCCAACTCATCTCTCCACTGTCTCTAGCCCAACTCTTGACTGGGCTAATTCTCTTCTGTCTGCTTCTTCCATCTCTCTCTTCCATCTGCCTCTTTTTCAGCATAACTATGCGTTTATATAGAAAAACCCGGCTGGCCCTACTACTTTGCACACAATTATCACAAGGTTATGGTTGTTTCAACGAAAATCATGTGAATTTTAATTGTCCTCCTTGCTTACTCGGCTCTATTTTTCAAGTTTCAATCAATAAAAATTATTTCGTCCATTTCCATTGTCTTCTGATGACCTAGATTCAATAGGTACAACTTCTGCCCTAGATCAGGTTTCACCATCAGTAAACAAAAACGTTCTGATCTAATTTTGCTGTTCAATTCTACTCCAATTTCACTAAAAAAAATGCATGTGTGTGTTTCCCAGACTCTGTCACATTTGGCCGTCGTATGCTGAATTTTTCTTCAATATCTGTCTATATCTCTGAAATGAAGTATTATGATTACTTGTATTATTTACATTACTCAAACTGTTATCCCCATCTTCATTGCCATATTCACATCATCTGAAGAAGGCCGAAGTGTACAACAGCTGAAACATTATGAATATGGCAATGAAGATGAGGATAAGTCCAAATAATGTAAATAATGCAATTAATGTATTATGAATTTTTATATTATAAAATGAAATTGCAGAACAGTTTTATCAACTCTCACTTGCCAATTCTGTTTCTAGAAGAAAAAAAAAAAACTTGCTCTAAGAATTTAAAAAAAGGTTTTCCAAATTAATCTCCATTCTTCATGATTCCTATACCTATAGTTGTGCCTGTTCCCTCTGAAATTAATTTGAATATTTATTTAATATTTTTCATTATCAGCAACCCAACCGTCTCTCAGCCAACTGAATCTTGGTGACCCTGAGCAACTTCAGTTGGTCGCATTACAACAGTCTAGTCTTGTTATTCAAGCTGCACGAGGAAACCACATGTCTGGTTCAAGGTCAGTACCTGTTCTTATGCCTACATTTTTATTCTTAATCCATAAAACATTTTCTATTTTTCTCTTTTTTTTATTATCCAACCTGTGTGAACAAGACTGTTCTCTTTATTTATTATTTGCTGATTGTTAATTGGGGTCACATCTGCTTAAGGTTCATTTTACAATTGGAATGATTTCTCATATTTATTGCGTTAATTATGCAAGCAAGAAAAAATAATTAGTTAGAATTTTTAAGAAATAGTTTAATAGATTTAAATAACAGAAAAATTTTTAAAATTTCAAATATTACAACTTTTTTTTTTTTAAACCCCAAACAAAACAGTTTCTGTCTGAATTTCTGGGATGAGAATTTATTTTTGAACTGTTGTCCCCATCTTTGTTATGATTACATTTGGTCCACTGTATCATTTGGCTTTTATCAGTTGCTTGTTGATCCAGGTAACATTCAAGTTTCTGGGCTTACACCCACATCACATTGAAAGCACAGTTCTCATATGATCACCAAAGTTAAGCAACATTAAGCCTGGTCAGTACCTAGATGGCTGACCTCTTGAGAATACCAGATGCTGTATGCTTAGATGTGTGGGTGGTGTAATGGATAATGGCTCAGAATTGTTAATTGGAGAGCTGGATTGCAATTATATTCACTTATGTGCAAATATTCTGGGGAAAGGTATGACTTGGTCTCTTCTCCCCAAGCTATGGGTTAATTAGTAAGACTTAACATTAAGTCATTATTATCTACAAAAAAAAAAAGACATTCTTACAATCTAAAAAATATTCCCTGTCTTCAAAGAATGATAAGCCATAGAAAACAAATCAATCTAAATCTGTATGACCTGGCCCAAGGATTGCACTCTGAATTACTTTATTAGTTTATTACCAAATTCATGAACCAATGCGCTTTAATTCAACATCCCATGAGGAGGTATCACTTTTTATTTACTTCAGATTAAATAAAGATAATTTGACAGTTTCAAATGCCTCTTTTTTTTTTTTTCTTTTGCTAAAGAAAAAATTTGTTTTTTGTTAACAATATTCTAAAAATACAAAAGAATCATCTTGGTTTCTATACTTTTTTTTATTTTATACTACAAAAAAATTCTTGGCATTCTTCATATTTACATTTTCACAAAGAAATCAAATTCTTTCTTTTAAATATGAACACTACTACTACTACTACTACTTAAGGATGGATTTTCTAATTTTTATTTATTAATATCAATTAAATCCTAATTAAACCTTTTCCTTTTCTTTTTTTCCAGGGCCCAATCAATGGGAGGTCCTGTTCAAAGCAATATGTATAACCGATATGATAAATTAGATTCTTCTGAGGTCAAAGATCTTCTTGTTTGCTTCCTGCATATTTTGAAATATTTACCAGAAGGTAAGCTTAGCAGCAACATCGCATTTGAATTTAATATTTGTTTTTTTTTTTTTGTTTTTGTTTTTTTAAATAATTTGATGTCATCAAACTCAGCATTTCAGCTAATCATCCAATCTACAAAAATTGATTGAAGTTTCCTGAGTGAATTTTTTACTCTAAGACTTTAATATCTTTGTTTTTAAGGTAATCTCAAGAATTTCCAGGGTTGATGAGAACTCTTAAAACATTGATTTTGATGCCCTTTTACTGAGCTTGATCTCACTGATTATGGATTTATATTATTTTGAAAATATTTGAAATTTATCTGAATGCTCTGATATTAAAAGAACTGTTTAGGACAAGGATTGGAAACCTTTTGGATAGAGAGGGCCAGACAACTATGCATTGTCTCGGGCCGGGGGGGGGGGCATGATATCAAATGTACTATAATAAATTGTCTCAACTTCAGACCGCTCCTTCCTGAAAGCTGCCTTGCTATGGAGGCTTAAAGAAAAAACAACAAAACTTAATGTTACCCTATTTAAATAAGGTTCCTTATTTTACTGCAGAAATAACAGGATAATAATTAACACAATCATCAATGAATGCAAATTCCTTACTACAGTTGATAGGTTGGACAAAAATCCTCCGGGGACCTCTAGCCTTCAAAGTAAACTGCAAGAATTGTTTTTTTTTTCTTTTTTTAAACTTTTTCAGCTTTGATGTGTATTTTGTTATTGTGTTTATTCTAATATGTACATCAAACCTTTGATGATGGAGAAAACAAAGTCTTTGGAAAAAAAAAACAAAAAAAAAACTTTGTGATCTCAAAAGAAAATCCAGACTAGGATGACTTTAGTAGACCATGAAATATGGTAATTGTTTGCACTTCCATACTTGTTCCAACCAATCACAATCTTTCTTACTCCAATAAAAGAACTCTTACTTTGCACCACAAGGAAACTGCTTGACTTACTGTGGGTAAAAAAAGATAGTTGTGCATTGTGAGGTGTCATGTGGATTTTTTTACCCCCCCCCTTTCATTGATACCCCAAGTATTTTCTGAATTTGGATTTGTGAGATTGATTGACCCTTAGAATTAATGATTTGGGGGATCTGAAATCCTCTATTGCTATCTATCTACCCCAAAAGCATAGACTACAATTTGAGCATCTAAGAAAATTATTGTCTGTATTTCTGAGATGACGGATTATGTACACTATTTACATTATTTGGACTATTGTCCTCATCTTTGTCGCCATATTTATTACAATGTTTCGGCCGTTGTACGCTCCGGCTTTCTTCAGGTGGTTGGGATGTCGAACTGAACCCTTTAGTTTGCTCACTGGGGTAGACAGTTCTAGTTCCACCTGCCATGTTTAATGGATGTCAGTTATCTTTATCCACTGTGACATGTGTCCTCAAGGACACATGGGACAGTGGATAAAGGCATTAGTTAGATCCAGGGACAGGACCCAAAGAGTGTGAGTTCAATACCTGGTTAAGGCAGTGGAGAACTTGAAGAGGGGAATTAACAGGAGATAACTGATAACCACCTGAAGAAAGCCAGAGTGTACAATGGCCGAAACGTAATAAATATGGAGACAAAGATGAGGACAATAGTCCGAATAATGTAAATAATGAAGAAAATTATTCTTACAATCCAAAATATGTTTCAGCTTTAAATCACCTACAAAGGGTTGATAAGCCATAAAAAAACAAATCAGTCAATCACATTCCTTGTGGAGATAGTTCCCCTGGTCTGCTAGTTGATGTTGATTAGGACTATAACAAGATAATAAAACTCTTTCTATTTTTTCTTCAAAATGTAGCAGTATCAGCATGAGTCTTGTCCCTGCTGGGGGAGAAATTTCTTCAAAGGTGGTTGGCTACATACACATCTATGTTTTTCTTCCTTTTCAGTTATCTCTGTAAACACGAATAGAATTTCTTTATTCCTTTATTGTTAGTTTATATATATATTAAATCAATTGAAATTTATTTCAATTGAAAATGTTAAATTCAGTTTCTTCCAAAGTTCTCACTCTTGTCCTGATAGAAACCTGTAGAAACACATCCTCTCCAACCTTCTCTACATGAATGTTGCAACTGTTTGCCTTTAGAAGTCATTTTTTACTATTTGCTTCCTGTGCTTATTTTCATCTGCTTCGGCAGAGAAGACCAGAGCCTAACAGTCAGAAATTGGAGAATTATAATTCAATTACAGTAAACCTGGCAACATATAAAGTGCTTTGTCTCTTCTTATCAAGGAATTTGCTTTTATTTTCATCCCTGTTCATAATACCTTAGTCAAACCTTTTCAAATGACAATCACTTCTAAAGCAAAATCAGCCAAAATTGAGCTGGCAGATAGTTTGTCATTAAAGGTTCTGATGAAAAGTCTTCAACCTAATCTCATCTGTAGTTATATAGTTTCTATATTCAGGTTTTTATTTAGAGCTATACCGACTCACTTTGCTGAATGACAACTGGCAGTCACCATGCCATGTTGATTCCTATGTCTCAACTGTGTATATCTAGAAACTCCCTCTCTCTGATATAAAGCACTCTTCCCCCATAAATATAACACATTGTGTATATGTGTGCAATTGAGATAATCATTATTAATTGGTTTTCTTTTCTTTTCTTTTTTAGATATCCTTTTGGGGTGGTTCAATAATTCTTCTGAACATAATATCATTGATCTATTTTCACTTTTGGAGTAAGTAATTTTGATTTTTATCTCTTTTTCTTTGTTTTGTCTGTACCAATTCTTGAATTTGCATTTGTTCCTCACTTCCTTTCTTTTAAACTTCAATTTGTAAAAAAATAAAAAAAAAAAACCCTCCCCCACGGAAGAATTTAAGTTTACTCTCATCTTTGCATACTTTGGAAAATTTAAATAACTCCCTTGGTATAGTTGAAGTTATGTTGTCAACAAAGAGTAAAAAAAAAAGTTTTTACAAAGTGCCTTAAATAGGGCAAATATCCTTTGAGCAATGTCAACTGACAGTCACCATGCCATGTTGATTCCTATGTCTCCACTGTGTATATCTAGAAACACTCTCTCTGATATAAAGCACTCTTCCCCCATAAATATAACACATTGTGTATGTGTGTGCAATTGAGATAATCATATTTTATTTCTATTTTAATAGCGCTTGTCTCTGTTCATTAGTTTGCACGACCGTTATGCCCTGCCAATACCTAATAATGTACAATTCCAATTTGATTGTGTGGAAAGACACTACTTCATTTCAATGAGAAAAAGAAAGATAAAATTGTTTAACAGCTATTTCAATGAAATGAAACAAGTTGTCAATTTCAAATCTTTTCATTTGTACCCACTTCTTCCATTCACAGTGATGAGTCTTACTGCAATATTTTGTTAAATTTGTTAAGCTCAAATATTTAACAATCTGATAGGAGAATTTCTACAGATATTTTATTGTTGTAGAATTCGCTATCAGCTTATTCAGTCATTAACTGAAGAATTAAAATTCATCAGAAATTTCAAATAGGAAAACTGTGAAATTTTCACAGGTTAAAACTCCTGTATTATAAAGACCTTGATTATTCAAAATAGTCCATAAGAACTAATGATTGCTTGTTTATCAAACTTTGACTTTGCCAAACTTAGATTCCTTTGGATTGTGCTTTGTACAAAATGGTACATGAGTCTAACTCTAGTTCCATTTACAGTGATATTAGAGAAAGATAATTTATTCAGGAAAAAAAACCCAACTCTCCATCTTAACAATTACTGGACATTAAGTCACCACACGTAACACTACATTAATTTGTATTCACTTCAAGCAAAAAGAATGCAATATCCGCCGACTTAATACAATTTGGTACAGAAGAAACATAAGACACAAGCAATCTTTATCAAAATTGCCGAAGAAGTGTGTTGGAAAACTGAAATCCCATTTCTTTTAAACATCATAAAATTTTTTTTTTTTTTAATCATTTCATCTGAACAAGGTAATAAAGCCACTAAGACACAATGGGTTACTGAGTGTGAAAGAAAAATAAAAACATTGAGGAGCAAGAACAATAAAAGAAGAGTAATCAGGAAGATAACAACTGATATTGCATTTAAATTATTGAAGATCAAAGTTGGCTGGAAATCAAGATGTTTGAAGAGAGTTCCACAAGTGAGAAACTTTTAGCATAGTACTTACGGTTACATCTAGTCATTTCAGCTGTAAAATGATGAGACCTAGCTGCCCATCTAGTACTGCCCTTAAATTCATAAAGTCTAGGTACAATAGAGCAAAGTTCATCAGAACAATTATCATGAAAGTATTTATAGAAAACACACAGGGAAGCTACATTACGGTGGTGAGAAATTGACTGAAGCCGAGATGCCAGGTCAGGACCAGTAGCATTGCATTCTTCTTTTGATTTTATCAAGAATCTCTAAATTTATAGCAGGCGCACCAGTCTAGATGTAGCAACAATATTTGAAGCATAGATGAATGGTAGACTTATAAATATGTAAGGTAAATTCTGGTTAGAAAACTTGTCTAGCACAACACAGTGGAACCATCTTTCCTAGAAGCAGAGCTAGCAATTGATTCAATATAATCTTTCCAGTTTATGTCAGTAAAAAAGGTTAGTTCAAGAAGGCTCAATGAGTCTCTTTTCTAGAGGTTAACATAAGCCATGCTGATGGAAGGCTAAAAGGACTCAAATTCAGATGATTAATAGAAAGCAGTTTTGTTTTGGAGGCATTAGAATTTAACAGCAGATTTTAGGCCACTTTTGAGATAGACCTTATCAAACTGATTGCTTACTATTAAGACAGGAGTAAACAGCTGTATCATCTGCCTAGGTACTGAGTTGAGATCTGAAACCATCAAGAAGGTCATTGATGAAAATTAGACAAATGGGGGACAACTGCGTTCATGCAAAATATTTAGAAGTGTGGCTACTCAAGATAACTTTCATTTCTGGATTTGATAAGATTTGATAAGATAATGCCACGTACAATGGGACAAATCATCCCCATTCCCTTTGTATTAGTCAGAAGAAAGTTCCATTCAAATATCTTCTGCTACTTTGGGGAACAGTCCTGAGTGGCTGCTTGATCTCTTCAATTCTAGGGTTAACCATTATCTTTCCTACATATCCTTATAAACTGCATATCTTACTGCCTCATACAACAATCTCATTAAGTAACCTTCTACCTTGAGTGGCTCTTGAGCCTTGTTTTAGGTGAAAAATTAATGTAACAAAAAATTTGATATTTGCTCAGATTTTGGGAAGTGAGCCAAGCCAAAACCTTTTCAGTACTATTTCATATATTGGTAACTTTGTTATTAAATGGTCAAAAGACTTTGAATCAATTACAAAGTAAAGGATCTGTGTAGATCATACTGTTGACTGAAATAATTAGTACAGTGTTAGAAGAAAAGCTTTAAATTCTGTTTCAATTGAACTTTTAGTTGGTGGTGTCAGTTATGAGTATCAGGTGAATATATATATATATATATATATATATATATATATGCAAGAATAAATTTCTACAATGTACATTTAGTAACTTAGCCTTTTATTTTTGTTCTGTGTCCAAAATTAAGTGCCCAGGGAAATTATAAACAAGAACTTTACATGTATAAAAAAAATGAATATTAAGTAATATAAATAAATATACTAATATCTATTTATTTCAAAGTGGTGATTTCAATCCTTTTATAATTATTCATTCTATAACATATAGAAATATTTGGCAGTTGGAACTCATTCATTGTGAAAATGCTGTAACCATCAACTGACCACACCTAATGGAAATGGTTAAACCTTGATTTGAATCGTTTCAGTTAATTTGAATCTTCTATTGACAGACAAGCACTAGGCAGAAACACTTGCAATAAATTCTCTTTCTTTGGCACATGTCATCCGTTCACTTTTAGCCTGAAGGCAACTCCTTGAAGCTGAATATTGTGTTGAATGATTGTTTGACTAATGAAAATTTCATAACACATCCTGATACCTAGATTATAGTGAAGATATCTGAAGATAGTTTAGAAATTAGAACCACAATTATTCAGACTTACAATTCTGTGAATATATCATTTCAAAATGATTTACTATCCTGAAATCAGTTTCTTTGAAATGACATTCTAAAAGTACAAAAGAGAAAATACTATTTCAAATAATCCTGGACTTTGAAAGACTTTGTCAGTTAGAGAAGAATGTAAGATTCGGAGAACTGTTGAAAATAAGCCAAATATATCAATTGAAGATCTATGAAATAATTTGGAAGTCACTGGAGTGAAAATAATAAATACCATTATCAGGAACCTACACAGAGCAGGCATACAAGAATGCCGACTGTATAAGACTTCCCTTCTAAATCTTAGCCATTTGAAATCTCATTTAGTATTTCTAAATGATAAGCCTATTTCATTCTTGGAGACTATATGATGGTTAGATGAGACAAAACTAGAACTTTGGGAAATAATGATATAGAATTTGTTGGGAGATGTCAAGATGAAACTTTCAATCCAAAGAACATTGCATCAATAACAAAACATGGAGTGGGGAGTATCAGGATTTGCAAATATTTCTCTGTAAAAGGAAGAAGCAGCTTGGTAAAAGTTAAAGGTAGAATTTTTTAAAAGTGGTTTATTGTGAAATATTGGATCTCAACTTGAAAGTGTCTGTTAGAAATCTGATGCTAAAATATGGTTAGAGACTTATTCATGACAATGATAAAGCATTCTTCACAATTAGTCTACAAATATATTCAAGATAAGAATATAAAAATATTTCCTTGACCATCACAAAATGCTGACCCAAATCCAATTGAAAAAATTTGTAGGAGCAAGGGATCTAAATAATCTGTAGCAAATTGAAGATTATGAAAAGTGGCAAAATACCCATATAGATGTTAATGTTATCAAAGGTTAGGGAGAAAGATTAGAAACAATTGTACAATTGAAGATTCATTTTCTCATGCCATGAATTTAGGGCATCGACTTATTTTACATTTTGTTTACAATTATCCAATTTGAAATATTAAAAAAATTATTTATTACTGAGAGCTTCCTCTGTCTTTCAGAAAACCATTTTTGTGATTCTTTCCTATAAATTAAAAAAAAAATACTCTGCTTTGCCAATAAATTTCAGTCAGCATGTATGAGCTTCATCAGATTTAATGGCTGCAATGGTTATTTTTACAGTGAAACATTTTCAAAACATTTTTTTTAACAATTTTTTTCAAAGTTAGCAAAAAATAAGTTCTCAATTTTTTACTTCTTTTTTCAGACTTTGTTTACATCAGTTTAAATATGTTGGGCGTCGAAAAATTATTACATTGAGGTAAGTGTTTATAATTTTGAGAAAAGATATCATTGTAAGGAGGTATTCAGACATTTTGAACTTATTCTTTGTATTATGTGAGTTGTTCCCACAATGTTTTGACCAGTTCATTCTCTGGTCTTCTTCAGGTGTGCTATCCATATGAAAAGAGACTGTCATTCTCAGTCATGCAAAGCAGAAATCCTTTACAACAAAACTTGCAATATAATCATTATATAATTCATGTATGAATGTTTTCAGATCCTTCCTTTGAACAGCAATAAATTTCATATTACTGTTTTTGATCAGTGAAAGCTATTTTGCATTTTAATCTACATAAGTCTGAGTTGCGCATCTTGATGAAATATTAGCATGTAGCAATTCTCTTAATTTTCTTTTATGGGATGTTGTAAATGTAGTCTTTTATCAATCTATTCTCTCTTATAAAGAACCAACTCTTGTAAATAAATTATGAATAATGGATGTATGTGCAGAAGAAATCCACTTATCTTCAAAAAGGTTTGAGGTCATGTGCCTGCTGATGCCATTGGCACCATGATACAAAGAAAAACAGGACACACTCATTCCGTTGTTTATAACAGAAAATGTTTTATGGAATAGCCTGGATGGGCTGTCTACAGGGTTGCCTATGGATCTGCATACCTGCCTTCAGACATATATAAAGTCAATGACAGTGAACAAGAAGTGAGGGCAAGAAAGTGGATCATGTAAAGAATGGATTCATGGCTATTGGGACATGCAGTTCTGTGAATATGTGACACTTATATTTTTACTACAATCTACTAATGAAAAAAAAAAAAGCACCTTGTTGTTGACTACAAATTGTTTGGATTCATTCACGCATATCATTTAGATTATTATTGTTTAAGTTCATTCAAGCATATCATTTAGATTATTATTTAGATAAATTCAAGCATTTCATTTAGATTATTATTGTTTGGAGTCATTCAAGCATATCATTTAGATTATTATTTAAATTAGTATAGTTTGGGTTCATTCAAGCATATCATTTAGATTATTATAGTTTGGGTTCATTCAAGCATATCATTTAGATTATTCACACTATAACTATTTCATCGGTGTCCCTTGAGTTTTATCCTTTCCTTTTCAAAACTACATATGATTTGTTAATTGTTACTTTGGAGAGTCTACTTTACTGTTCTTTAATTCTTTCATTTTTCTTCTGGATCATTTCAACATTGTTGAAGATGACAAATGAACCTTTCTTTAACACAGAAGGAATAGGCTTAAAACTATAATTAAAATGCAAGCTATGTATTTTTGTGTCCATCAATGCTTCTGTATAAGTTACCAGGACTTGTAAAAAAAGGAAATTAATCTTTTTTTTCTATTGTGAAATGTATGGAGGGTCTAACTAATTTCTCATTATCCAACTGGACTTGTATATCAAATTAGTGTGCAACCAGAGTATAAACATGTTATCCACACATAAACAAGATCAAATGTTTCAGCAAATGGAACAACTCAATAGCTGGGAGGCCGAGGAGCTCTATTCAACTGTTGAAGATTACAGGAGGAAGTGAAAAACTAATATCTATATATTTGGCCCAAACTGAAAATGTATTATCCACAAAACATTAACATTTCCATTACGATATTAATAGAGATAATGGTATATTTCTTAAGGCAATGGTCATTCTCCATTTTGTCTCCTACGATGAACAAGGCTTTCTCCTTTACCATATCAAAACTTACAACTACTGATGACTGGTTGAATGTCCACTTACCATTTCCATGAAATAAGCTGATCTCTCTACATAGATTGGCATCTTGCCTGATAATGGTTGTTTGCCAAGAAGCAACTCTAAAGGCAACATACTAAGTCAAGACAGTTAGCTCTGGGTTTTAATGGAATGTCTGCCATGTAGAGCGGATTCTTCTATGTGCCATGTTCTTTCAGGACGTTAGCAATCATGGCTCTCCACAACTTCCTCACCTTTTTATCTCTCAGTAAGTTTTGTCTATTTGCTATCTTTCCTGACCCTTGTTCTGCCAACCATTTACACAATCTCGTTAGGTTGGTTATTCACTGCTTTCCCCTCTCTCCCTTTCAATGTCAAATTCTTCAAGGTAGCTTTCTTCATTATGTGCTCTAGAAATTTCAACTGTCTCTTTCTGATTATAAATTTCCTTTTTGTTCCCATTGCCCTAAATCTTCCTCATTACTCTCATGTTAAGTCCATAATATTCTCAGTATCCTTCTCCAGTCTCTTCGTTATTTGTGAGGAGATTGCCAAGCATTCACTGCCATATAGGAGGACTGATATTATATAAAAGTTCAGTAATCTTTTCTTTGTTTCTAATGGCATTTTCCTATTCTTAGCTTTTGGAAGGCATCTTTCACTATTCTAATGTGTCTTCAGATGTTGGTGTTACGTTTCCCACCCTCTCTTAAAACACTTCCCAGATGGTCCTTGATTTTAGTGTCTCTAATTCACAGTTTGCATATTGGACTGTTCCATTACTGACCAGCATTATTGTTTGCATATCTTATATTGTTAAAATTATATCTGCCCATAACAAATCCTGATAAGAATTCTAGTTCTCTCAGGATCATCACATTGTAACAGTTATTCTGGTGAGAAGACATATCACTTGGTATTTTTCTGTATTTACTGAATTCATTTTTTGTTCGTATACAGGTTGTTTCATCCCAGTATAGGTTTTGGATTATTCTAATATCCTTCCCAAATAAATCAAGCTTACTTAGCAGGTTAAACAGTTCATTGTGACATACTTTATGAAACATTTTGTAATAATCTATAAGATGTAGATGTACATAGTTTTGTATTTGTATTGCTCTGTCATACAGCGTAAAGAAAGGGATCGTCTACTGCTTACAACACCAAGCAAAAGTCATAAGTGGTGACCCAGAGACATTAGATAAAGAATTGGTCAGTATAAGTAGTACCCTACAACGTAACAACTACCCTGGGTACATGACAGCAGCCCCCCAAAACTGGGATAGGCAGGTATAAGAGGAGGAAGACAACAACACTAAGAAAACAGTCTGACTACCTTATGTGAAGGGGTTATCAGAGAAAATACAAAGGATCTGCGGGTTATATAACATCAGGACAACCTTCAAAAGCTTGACGACACTTTGCAGATATCTCTCCTGAGTAAGACCCCACCAGAGAAGAACATGACTAAAGACTGTGTGTACGCTATCCCATGCAGCTGCAGAAAGAAATATAAAGGGGAGACAGACTGCCCGCTTAAGGTAAGACTTCAAGAACACCAGAAAGCTGTAACACGAGAGGAAGTGGAAAAATCAGGCGTGGCTGACCACATATGGAGAGAAAAGGGAAATGACCACCCTCTGTGGGATCAGGTTGAGATCATAGACAAAGAACACTATTGGAAAATTCGTAAACAAGTAATCAGCACATATGCTAGGCCACAAAAATCTCCTGAGCCGACCAAGCATAGAAATGAATACAATATGGGAACCAGTAATAAGCAGTGCCAGAGAAAAATTGCAATATGAGCTCTGATAAAATTTAAAAAAAAAAAAAAAAAAAAACTGCCATGATAACAGCAAAAATTGCAATATGAGCACTGGTAAAAAATGGTTGCTAAAGACATTAGGTTGACAATACCCAGAAATTCATACCCAGATGTCCTGAAGGACACATGGCACAGTGGATAAAGACGTTAGTTAGATCCAGTGACAGGACCCAAAGAGTGTGAGTTCAATAGTTAAGGCAGTGGAGAACTTTCAGAGGGAAATTAACAGGAGATAACTGAAACTGACATCCATTAAACATCCAGTGAGCGAAATAAAGGGTTCAGTTCAACATTACAACTACCTGAAGAAGACTGGAGCATACAACAGCCGAAATGTTGTAATAAATATGGCAACAAAGATGAGGACAATAGATATAGAGATGGCACCTTGGTCCATGGGAACACTGGAAGACCTTCAATCCTGTTCACAATGGAAGAGGAATCTAAAGATCAGCTAGATCCATTTTTATTTGAGTTAAAAAATTGAAAAACTGCAAAAAAAAAAAAATTTCTATATTCAAAAGTTCTATATACTAATTAAGGTAATTATACTAAATAATTATATATTCTATGCCCTAATAATGTGATAATTCATATTATTGCTTTCCTGGATGTACTAACGACTTGCGCAAAGAATGGGTTCAAGATATCAATTCCCACCATATAAATACACTATAAAACAGGGATTATACAATGCCTACAACATCAGGCAAAAATCATAATTGGCAAACAAGGCACAAACCAACAGATTACCAACATCAAACATACTCTTCAAAATAACGACTACCCAACAAGCATAACATCAGATTTTGCAGACAGACAGAATGGTTGGGGAAGAAGATTAGAGAACACTCAGGGTCTGTCTGTCTTATGTTAAAGGGTGAAAAGGGATTAAAAAGATCTCTTTGTCCATGTAATATCAGGGCAATATTCAGAGGCACCTCAACCTTAGGGACACATCTCTGCTGATTCAAGACTAACATTAAAACTGTCTGTATTCCATCCAAGCTGTATTTTGGAGTGAGACAATGAAATCATACTTGAACTCTGTGGAAACACAGCTAGCAATACTAAACAGTACTAAAGAACATCTAATCAAGACAATATAAACTTTGACAAAGATAGCACTGTAGATTGAATAAAGAGTTTGGTTCAAAATTACCAACATCAAGAGATACTTGAAGGTCAGAGCTCACAATGACCAAAATGTTATTACTTTCAAAATCAACATTGTAATAAAGCTGTGGACACTAGTCCAACTGTTGATAATGTAATTAACTCTGCATTCCATAAATTCAAGCTGGTATTATAAATTGTATTCACTGTTTGTCAGTTGCCTAACTGAAAAACAATGAAAAGCAACTTAAGTTTTGCCAAATCAACATTGAAATGAGATTGTCTTGTTTTACTTACATGTAAAGAATGTATTTATATTCAACAAATGAAATTTGAATTTCTAAACTAAGCATGATGACATATCACAAATGCTTTGACGGAGTGTGCCAACTGCCAATATGCTGTGGATGCTTTGGAATGTATATATGCAAAGAGCATCAAGAAATTTGCATTTTAAGATGAAGGAATTTGTCTCAGTTCTGAGTTTGAATTGACATTTTGCTAAATTTTGCTGCATTATAAAAATCCATTTTTATTTGAGTTAAATTAAAAATTGAAAAACTTCTGCAAAAAGTTCTATATACTAATTAAGGTAATTATACTAAATAACTATATATTCTGTTATTGCCCTAATAATGTGATAATTCATATTATTGCTTGTGTCTTTTTCTGATTGTCTTTTCAGCACGATAGGAGACAGTCGCAAAGCCATGACAGCACCTCCTTCCTCACACAAGTCTTTGACAGTAGGAGGAGGAAGTGGAGGAGGTAATGGAATGTTACATCAAAGAACTTATAGCCAATGTCAGGACAGTCAAACAGACTTGTTTCACGGTCAGTAAATTTTTACACATTTTTTTGTGGATTTTAGATTATACTAAATAATTGGATAGCTTCAGCCTGGTCTTTACATTAAATTTCCACCTTCTTTATTAATTTGTTTTTTAATGACTATGACCTAACGTGCACATTTTTTTTTTTTTTTTTTTTTGACACTTTCTTTTGTATATGACAAGGCCAAATGTTGACAAAATTAGTCATGGCAGTCTTCCACAGCTTCAAAATCAGCATTTGTGATTTCTGTCCATTTATCTGGACTCCAACAAAACTAACCACTTAGACCAATGTTGAAGATGCAAAATACAAATCACTAAGCAGATTAACATTCCTCTTCATAATATTTAATCATTATTAGCAAAAGGCATAAGAGGGGGAACTAATAAAAAATGTTATGACTTTCAAAATAATTTTTCTCAAACACCAACCAATGCTGAGGGGGGGGGCGCTTACCACCACATCATGTTGAAACACCAGTTCCTGTACGTTCACTGAAATTAAGCAACATTGAGCCTGGTCAGTACCTAGATGGGTGACTGCTTTGTGTCATCTGGCTTTTACCAGGTGCCTGTTGATCCAGGTTACCTTAAAGGAATTTTAAACTGAGCCCTTGATTTAATCTACAAGTGTATATTGTTGTTGTTGTTCTAATGATCATTCCCAGGGATTTCTAATCTCATTTAGTACTGTTCAGTTATTACTCACCCGTCACCACTGAATCAGTCTGTTGGTTTACAGCCACATCTCATTAAAACATAGGTTCCTGTATGATCACTGAAGCAACATCAAGCCTGGTCAGTACCTTGATGGGTGACCACTTGGGATTACCAGAGGTTGTATGCTCGGATGTGTAGGTGGTGTAATGATAATAGCTCAGAATTGTTAATTGGAGAGCAAAGTTCCAATTCCAGATGAGTTATATTTACTTACATGCAAATACCCTTGGGAAAGGTATGAATCCACCTTTTCTCCTCCTGCTATGGGTTAATTAGTAAGACTTGTAAACTATTATCTACAAAAAAAAATAGAATAAAATTATATACAAAATATTTAAATTTTGGCATTAAATAACCCATAAAGTTTGATATGATGCAAACAACCAACCAATTGATGTTACTGATTGGAAATATGTAAATATCTTTGCTGATCTCTTTAAAAATGAAAAAAATATTATTGAAATGCCTATTTTTGAATTATGCAGAGTGCTGATGTCTGTGAAATAATTGATACTGAATTTTAAAATCTTTGAGAAGGTTAAATTTTTGCCATGTGACTTTGTGCTAAAGTTTCTCTTCTTTAATTTTTCCTGATTATATGAAAAGACAGGAACTTTTTGTGGCCTATTTGATTATAGGAATTCCACTCAGCTTTTACCCTCAAGAATTGCTACTTTGTTGAACACTCTCTCACAATGGTGCTTTGTTGAGCGCTAAAATCTTAACCACTTTAATTCAAGAGTCAATCTTTACCTCTCCTCCCAATTTGCACTTCCTGGAACATCTTCTTTTGTTCATATCATACACCTCATTCATCATAACCGTTTTAACAGTAACCCTCTACCTTGAGCGGCTCTTGAGCACAGTATTGTGTGAATTTTAGTATGAAGAGATATCTCTCAGACAATGGTTAATTGGTGGTGCTTCACTTTTCTCCAAGTAATATGCTACAGGTTGTATGGAATGTTATAAGGACATATCAAAAATGGTTTGTCTTGACAAAGTTAAAGTACTCAATCTACCATTTTTATTTACCTTTGTACTTTTTCCAAGAGCATTAGCACCAAGTAAACACAAACTGTCCCAGCCAAAGTTTTTTTTAGGGTCATTAATTTAATTGTTGAGTTATTTAATATCATGCAGTAATTGGCCACGGTTAGCAAAATGCTCAACAAACAGAATTAACAAAGTTCTCAGTAATCAATAAGAAAAGGAGGAAAAAGAACAGCAAAATAATACTAAGCAAACAATATATATGTAAGATAAAACTAAGCAAAGCAACAAGAATAAGGCAAAAAGTTCACAAAGTAAGAATGGCATTCATGTACAAAAGAGATACAGTCAAGTGATTGTAGCATTCTGACTTTAAAAAAACAAAACATTGGTTCATTTTTATTGGTTCAGAAGAAATCCCAGCATGCATGTTCATAGTAGTCATTTGAAACCAACAAATTTCGAATAAGAGTTTTATAGGACTAAAATGACAAATTAATAAATAGATACAATGGTATCTCACACACCATATTTTTCACACTTTTTTTTACCTTAAAATTTAATGTCTTATATATATAATTTTTTACTTGTATTTAGTTCTTGTTACTATTACTTGTAGTAGAATACTAATGAGAAAGAGTCATTGTATTTATCTGGTTCAGACTTATTTCTTTATCATTGTTGTTTATTTTCCCAACATTTGTCCTGCCATGTATCTTCTTACCATTCTCAGGAGTTTGTGTTCTTAAATATCACCAAATTCAGAATATGACATGACATAATGTTGGGAAAAGACTGAAACTACAAAAACCAAGAAATTATTTTTTACCAAACAAATACAATGATTAAAACATTTTATCTAACAAAATTTTTTAAATGCATCATTTGTGATAATATTTTAAAACAAAATATAATTCGTACAATCCACTGTAAATTGTTTTTAATTTAATTCTCCAAGGAATTCCATTTCATTTAAAAAAAGGAAAAAATATATTTCATGGATTTGTTGCAGCAATGGAAAGTATTCTCATTTTATGTCTCCTCGTACATTTGTGAGATTCACTTGAGAGTCTTGATAAAAAAAAGGGGTACAAAACATGGAATTCAAACAACAATTTATGATTCAATGAAACAACAATAATTGTATTAACAAAACAATGTTACAGGCGGATAAAGAAAAAAACAAAGTTGAAGTTATGAACAGTTCAATACAATCTTCAGCCTGTGAAGTACTTTACATGCCTTGTCTATCAGAGTGAAAAGAAACTGTGTTTTCACACCAAAAGTCAAAGGGAAAAGACGCAGAGCCTTTCAAATATTGCACCATTGGTGATTATTGTTAGGAGGCAATTATCCAACATATTATAAATGTCCTTTTCATTATAGAAAAAATAACAAATTTGAAATTTGTTCATTTTATTGCAGAGATAATGTCTGTCGCTCTCCATTTTTTTTTTTTTTTCCATTATTTTCCTCATTTAAGAAAAAAAAAATTTTCTTCTATAAATCATTGTTTTGCAATTAAAAAAAGTTAAAAAAAAAAAAAAAAAAAGTGTGTCAATTGAAAATGTTTTTGTTTTTTTTCTCTATATTAATCCCTGAAAATCATTTTAACATTTGGCTAATGATTCCTTTTAATCAAGTCATTATAAAAATAAAAATTCATTTTCTTCCATGCTTTAGTTCATTCTTCTTCTGGAGCAATGGCCATCCTCAAAGCTTTACAAGAAGCCAACATGGCAACTGAAGTTGGTATTATCGTCCTAGACATTCTCAGCCTTTATTGCAATACATTCAAGGTCAGTATAATAAATTTCTGAAATGTATTTCCTTTGCTTCTAACCTGAGTTTGAACACCTTCTGGAAAAAACAAAAGAAAAAAGCCTGTTTGGTTTACATTTTGTCAGTGACCTTCTCTCTATAATCATTTGTCTATCTTGATTCAATTCACTAATTTTTTTCTCTCTAATATTTGCTGTGATATAAGCACTTGCCTTCCTAAGACTACATGTAGTATATACGTGTGGAATTGACAAAATACCAACACATTATATGAGAGGGATATCTGAATGAGAAGAAAAAGATACAGAATTATTTAGATAAGAATTTATATAAAATGTTGCACTGCTCAAGAAAAGAGAGCAAAAACGTCCTTTTTTATTTTTATTTATTTTTTTTTTTTTTTTTTTCAATACAAAAAAACCCCCAAAAAACAAATGGAAGAAAAAGTTTAACCAACATTGTTGTAAGACTGGTTCAAGATATAAAGAGACCACAAAAGCAATCTGTTTTGCTGCTATGACAATGTTTGTGCCTGATTCTGCACAAGCAGGGTTTGGGTAAATTGACCACTATTTTGACCAGTGGCCTGAATGTACTCATTCGAGTACCTCATGTTAAATAACTGACCTTGTGTCCATCTCGGTGAGGAGGCATGGGTAAATACCAGTTTTCTATAGACCAGATGATTAGGATCAAAGTGTAGTATATGTTCCAACAGCAGCTGACTGTCTGCCCGCAGCTCCCAGTTATCAACAGCAGCTCCAGCTACCCAGCCATCATTTTCTCCATCTTGCCATCAGCTAGCACTCCAGCCATCTTCAGCTCTTGCCGCTCCAGCCGTCCTTTTCAACGATATGCTATAAACTGTCCTTCCCAGGACAATGCTCTCTCGTGACCACAAAATTGTCCTTCCCAGGACAATGCTCTCTCGTGACCACAAAATTGTCCTTCCCAGGACAATGTTCTCTAGTGACCACAAAATTGTCCTTCTGAGGACAATGCTCTCTAGTGACCACAAAATTGTCCTTCTGAGGACAATGCTCTCTAGTGACCACAAAATTGTCCTTCCGAGGACAATGCTCTCTAGTGACGACAAAATTGTCCTTCCGAGGACAATGCTCTCTAGTGACGACAAAATTGTCCTTCCCAGGACAATGCTCTCTAGTGATTTACAAAATTGTCCTTCCCAGGACAATGCTCTCTAGTGACGACAAAATTGTCCTTCCCAGGACAATGCTCTCTAGTGACGACAAAATTGTCCTTCCCAGGACAATGCTCTCTAGTGACGACAAAATTGTCCTTCCCAGGACAATGCTCTCTAGTGACGACAAAATTGTCCTTCCCAGGACAATGCTCTCTAGTGACGACAAAATTGTCCTTCCCAGGACAATGCTCTCTAGTGATCACAAAATTGTCCTTCTCAGGACAATGTTATTTCTGATCCTCTACATGAGCTTTTGCTTTGTTCATGCTAACATTATTTTTGTTTATGTATTTTTATTTAACAAATACAAACTTGGCAATATTTATTTTTATTCAAGTCTTCATTTTGCTTGTTGTCTTCTGTCATTCGATATCTGTTTGCAGGCCAATATACCACCCACAACAGTCTTAAACAGCTGCTAATTCTTTCATGAAAGCAAAAGAAGAAAAAAAAACATTACTTCTGCCTCTTTATTTCTGTTGTCATTATCTTTACTCGTCTGTATGTGTTTGGGGCAGTAAGTAATCCAGACTTAAGTTTTGCCCTCCAAACCTGCCTCTACACTTGCTGCACCAGTCATTATGATTTTTGCATGTTTTAGCCCCCAACTAATTTCTGTCAGTTTTAGTGCCCTACTGGGAGGAAATAAAGACTTCTTTCTTTTTCATCTTCATATTCCAATGACATTTTGAAGAGGGAGGAAAAAACCCAAACTGTCCCAACTCATGAGTCATACTCCTTCTCATATTAATTACTGTGTCCAAACTCCCAGACATGTCACCAATCAACTAAACTCCTGCTGATGATTTTTCCACATGCCAGTTTCTGATTGGTGTTGCTGTCACTGTGACATGACCAGTTGTGAACCAGGCCATGCCACATACTTTGAGATCCTGAAGGTTTTTTTTTTTTTTTGTCTACCTGGAAATATTGGTGGACTTCTACAATGTCAGTAATGTACTATATTCCTTGCTTACCTGTTTATGATAACAATTCTTGTATCCATTCTTATCACTGTTTCTGTCGAATACTTCCAGACCATACTTTCTTGTGCCGCCTTTTATCTCTAACACTTTGTGCAAAATTAATAGCAAGTAATTAGTAAATATTAACTCTATGGGATATGGCTGTTAACAAAAAGAATGAAAATAAAGTGAAAGGATTTCTGTAACTATGAGAGAGTGATGACAAGTTCTTGGAGAGCAAAACTAAAGTCTGACCCCAAAAAATTGATATTTAACAGATTTTGAAAAGTGGACCTGGCTGAGATCTTTTTAGCACCTCACATAAAATATTTATAAAATGATGTTAGGTGAAAATCCTACAAATACTGTGCCAAGTGGGAAGCTACCATTGCTCTGAGCAATGAATGAAAGAATAAATATTTTTTACTTAGATAATCTTTTATTCTATTATCAAAATGATTACATGGTATTCAATTGATTTTTTCTTTTTTCTTTGAATAAAAGGAACTTTTAAAATAAGAGATATAGACAAGCAATTCATTTTTTCACAGTATTAAAATGAAATTGAAATATCAAGTTTGTATTAGTCACTTAGTCTTTATTAACTAAAAATGTTTGTGAGGCCATTATAGTGTTGAGTAAAATCCTTAAATCTTAGTAAAAAAAATATTGCTGGCTTCTGTTAAATGGGATTTTTTTTTTAATAGAGAACATTTCTAAAAATGCTTGTGTTTTTAGAGTGCTTCATTTGAATTTCCTTTCCTTTCAGAAACAACTTGAACATAAAGATGGAGACAATAAATTGATGAGAAAAGTTTTTGATCTTCTTTTGTCTTTTCTACAAACAAGTCAGTCAGAAACACTGCAAAAACACGTTTTCTCCATTTGGAGAGCTTTCATCAGAAAAGTAAGAAAAACTTTTTCTTTTTCTGATTTTTCATTAGGACAATTTAGCAAACAAATTGGTTTTATGACTTTTTTGTGTGTCTATCAGCGATACTAAAGTGTACTTGTATATGGATAGTATTTATTAAGCTTAACTTGGTATGTTATCAAAAAGGTGTAAGATTGTGTTGCACCAATTTTCTATTCTGGCTTTTACCTTGGCTTGAAGACAGACTACTGGCAAAATAAGCAACTCCACTCTGAATAAATGTGTATGATCAATTTTATATGTCTTAGAAATGTTTGCCTTTTATAGTGTGTGTGAGATATATATATATATATATATATATATATAAATAAATAAAATGAATGTGAGAAGGAGAGAAAAAATGTGTATATCAAGTTGGACCCAAGAAAGGTTTGTGGAAATGTCCTAATTCAGACAATCAAGGCAAGCGAAATGCAGTCAAGCATCTTTTAAGTTTTGGGATAATAATGTTAAGACTTGTCACAGGCAAAAGGACAAAGGCTGATCACTCTCTTCTTTGTCCTGCTCTTTACCTTCCACTTACTTCTTTTCCAGTAAGTGACAAGGGAACGGGAAGGGTTTGAGACTGAGGGAAGCCAAACAAGTTTCTTTGACAAGCCAGATTGGTCAGTTTCAATGAAGGAGTACACGTTTTGACTGGCTCAGACATCCAGAAAAACTGATAGACTTTTTTTTTGGCAAGCAGACCTATTGGCCTTTCTGTTCACTTTTTTTTTTTTTCTCTTTCTCTTTATAATTTATTCTATCCTTCTCTCTCTCTTTCCTTCCTTTCCATATCTCTCTCTTCTTCTCCTTCTCTCTCTCTTCCTTCTCTCTCTCTCCTTCCTTCTCTCTCTCTCCTTCCCTCTCTCTCTCCTTCCCTCTCTCTCTCTCTCTCTCTTCCTCTCTCTCCTCCTCTCTTCCCTCTCTCCTCCCTTCTCTCCTCTCTCTCTCCCTTCTCCCTCTCTCTCCTCCCTTCTCCCTCTCTCTCTCTCCTTCTCCCTCTCTCTCCTTCCTTCTCTCCTCTCTCTCCTTCCTTCTCTCCCTTCCTTTATCTCTCTTCCCACTTCTTTCCTCCTTTTTCATTCCTCTCCTTCCTTCCTTCCTTCTCTCCCCCCCTCCTTCCTTCTCTCCTCCCCTCTCATCTATTTCTTTTCATCTTTTTTTTTCCTTTCATCTCTCTTCTGACATCGTTTTTGCATGCATCTTCTACAGTTTCTTCATTCTGACGAACTGGAAGTCATTGTTTCAATTGCTCTTGCACACACACATCATCTCAATGACACTAATATTCTTGAATCACAAAAACAGAGTCTAAAGAAAGATTTTTATTTTTCATTTTACCCTCTCTCTCCCCAAAAAGCAATTCTTCCAATGCACAATAATTGCTAGAACTGCGATATGTCTTCAAAATTGGTTATAAAAAACATTTAAGAAAACTAGGAATTGAAATTTTGATTCTTCTTTCCGAGTTTTTAGATGAAGTCAAGGGTTTGAAGCAGACCCCACTCACCTGAGATGCCTGATAATTACACATCCCTGTTTTTTTTTTTTTTTTCAACATTTTTAGCTTTTTAAAGCTGCTATCATGATTATTGGCACATCTCTTTTTGCTGTGATTCTTTTTGACAGTGAAAAGAGTAGGTGAGACCAAATCATTCTCCTATAACAACTTTACCTGGTTAGGCAGCAACTCAATGAGGGTCAGTCACTCAAACCAACTCAATAATAGGCTATCTGTACCCTACAAAATGTTACAAAAGCCTTGAGAAGGGAGTAAGTTTGCTAAGTGACTTTGAAAAGAATATTTTTCCTCTAAATATTTCTTGTTTTGTATATATTAGACAACAACATGCATTGCATTTTACATTTTTTCTCAGTCGTTTTTTTTTCTCTTATTTCATTCGAGCTTCAGCTACAAAGAAAAGTATTTCAATAATATATTCAGGATATTAGATTCTTTTCTTTTTATGTGCCATGTCCCTTTAGGACATAGGCGATCATGGCTCTCCACTTCTCCTTATCCCTTGTAGCTCTCAATAAGTTTTGTCCCTTTGCTACTTCTCCCAGGCCATGTCCTGTCATCCACTTGCTTAAGCCACTTTCCTTTGTCTCTCTTTCCTTATATTCAACTTATGAGTATCAGATTCTACAAGCCTTCCTTTCTCATTACATGGATGTTAGATGGATGTTCATCCTTAGAGAAAAGATAAACCTAGAATACAACCACACCGAAGTGGCTTATGGCCATATCCCTTTGAAACACTGGTTCCTGTACGATCACTGAAGTTAAGCAACATCAAGCCTGGTCAGTACATAGATAGGCAATCACTTGAGAATACTATGTGCTGTAAACTGAGATGTGTGGGTGGTGTAATTGATAATGCCTCAGAATTCTTAATCAGAGAGCCAAATTGCAATTCCTGTTGGGTTTGTTATATTCACTTACGTGCAAATGCCCTTGCGAAAGTTACAAATCCACCTCTTCTCCCTCCCCCCACCTATGGATCAATTATTTTAAGACATTTTTATGTTTATACGTTCTTTTTATAGATACAAATATTTAAGTAAATGCTCTGTTTTATAATAAACAGTATTAATAACATTTACCGGCCTGAATATCCCAGAAATTTTCATAGAAAATATCGATTCTCTGACAGGAACTGAACCTGTAACCTATACGGAACCATCATTTAACCAATCAAGCCACATGAATATGGGATAAGGGAATGGTGGGGCAACATAATACAAAAAATGAGTTCAACTTACTGACTTTAAAGTGTTTTAGTTTATGCATTGATGTGTAGGTGCTGTAATGGTTAGCAGCTCAGAACAAGAATTTGATTAGTCAAGTTTAAGTTTTCCATCATTGCATTCACTCTCACACAAATCCATCTCTTCTCCTCTTAATATGGATTAAATAGCGGGGCAAACTGGGCTCCTCAGGCTTGGTTGGCAACTAGTCTAGGAGAATAACTTTGAATTCAAAATCAGTTGGTCATGAGGTGAACAACTCCATCCCATGAAACCCTAATTGCTATAGAAACGACAGGAAGATGTTAAGAACCATGGAATCTATAGAACTTGAGTGTATAAGTCTACTGTGTTGTTTGAATATTTGACTAAACATGTATTCATCTTCAGTTTCAGGCTGTGTTGTTTAAGGGCAATGCAAAGCTCTGTGGGGACCTCTGCTACGAGGTGAGTATTACATTTTTCTATGGATGCATAGCATTTTAAATAAAGATTTTTCCCCTAATTTTCTGTCTAATGATCCAGAATTTCCATTTTTATGAACATAGAATAATTTTAAATATTACGTTCTTCCAAAAATAATGTCTGAATTTAGAATAAACCTTTTAATTATATTCTAATATAGTGTATATAATACTTCATCTCAGAAATATAGACAGATTCATCTCATATATTTAACCTATTGTGTTCTTCTTGTCTGGTTTTCACACATTGAGAGCGCCACTCTCGACTGAGAAAAACACTGGTGTTATATAGATCTACCAGACTCATGCTGACTATTGGCTAATACCTTCCCAGTATCATTCATATGGAAATAGTCTGCTTCACCTACTCTAAGTAGGAAGTCTTCTCTCAACAGCCCATTGTGGAAGGGGACACAACTCCTTGTGCTTACAGCACCACATATAACCAACTCTTAGTCTTTTATCAGGCTGACCTGATTCTCTGTTACACCTATTAATACACATTATCCCATTTTTTCAGATGATAGGCATTAATAGATTAGAACTCTTTTATCTATTGTGTCCCATCAAGATGTGGGTTATCATATCTCTCCACAACTTCTTTATCCTTTATATCTCTTAGTGAGGTTTGTTTTTTTAACATTCCTCCCACTCCCTGTTCTACCATCCATTTACAAGCTTGTTACGTAGGTTACACACTATTTCCCTCTGTCCCTTTTGCCTTTAATGTGTCCTTCTGAGGGTCATATTTTCCAAGCCCTCTGTCCTCAATATGTCTTAGAAATTTCAACCGTCTCTTTCTGATTCTGGGTATAAATGTTTTTCTTTAGTTATTATTTTCTTTAAGAGTTCGTCATTTGTGGTATTCTTAGAGTATCTATCTGTTGAACTAGATTTCTTTTTATTTACATTATTCAGACTGTTGTCCTCATCTTTGTTGCCATATTTATTACAACCTCATGGCACAGTGGATAAAGGTGTTAGATCCAGTGACAGGACCCAAAGAGTGTGAGTTCAATACCCAGCTAAGGCAGTGGAGAACTTTCAGAGGGAAATTAACAGGAGATAACTGACATCCATTAAACATGGCACATGGAACTAGAACAGTCTACCCCAGTGAGTGAAATAAAGGGTTCAGTTTGACATTCAAACCACCTGAAGAAGGCCGGAGCATACAACAGCTGAAACATAATAAATATGGCAACAAAGATGAGGACAATAGTCCAAATAATGTAAATAATACCTCATCTCAGAAATATAGACAGATACTAGATTTCTTTTGTCTCCAGAATTCCTGCCATTCATAAGAAGATTAAGAGAGACAAGCTAAATGACTGTCTTCTTATATGACAATGAAAACTAGACAATTTTGTCACAAATGAAGAATCTATTGAGATGTTCTTTTATGAATACTGAGAATAATATGAACAGAGCATGTGATAAATGAGGAATTTCTAAGAACGATAGAAAGTACAGAGAACTTGTTAACAATTAGACTGCTGAATTTGGGGATGCATATAAGAGGAAAGAAGGCTTGAAGAATCTAACACTCACAAGAGTTAGCAATTCATAACAAGAATCTTTCAAACTTTCACCTTAACCTCCACATTCTCTGTGCTTGTTAACTTCATTATTCTTAAATTTGGTGCACATCTTATTTCCTGATTACTACCTGGCCATTGCGACAGATCATGTAAAATCCTGGAAAACATTAACTGACACTTAAAGGCATCTCTAAATAAAACTATTTTTTTTTATATAATTTGGATAAATTATAATAAATCCAACTTGTTTGTTAATTCTTTCTTAATTTATTTCTTTTAATTATTTCACCCAAAGCAAAGCGATAAAGCCACTAAGATGTAAATGGTTAGTGTGAATGAAGGAGAATGACAAAACTTTAGTGAGTAGAAGGGACAATAAAAGAACAGGGATCAGGAAAACAAAAGATGGCATTTATTATTGCATTTAAAGATTGTTGATGATAGAGAAGCAAGAAATTGAAAGGGAGTTCCACATAAGAGAAGTCTGAGAAGAGAAACTATTAGAACATATGGTGGCAATTACCTAGTTCAACAATAAAACAGACCTGGTTGCCAATCTAATGCTATGTTTAAATTCATGCAGTCAGAATACTAAGGAGGAAAGTTCATCAGAACAAATGTCATGAATTTGTAAAAAAGACAGAGGGAAGACATATCACTTCTGTAAGAAAATGACTGAAGTTGAAATGCCAGGTCAGGATTGAATGTATTACAGACCCTTTGGATTTGCTTTACGTATCTCATGATATATAATAGAAACACCAGATTGGTTATATTAAAATAATTTTAACAATTCAAAAAAAAAAAAATTGTTTTAATTGTATTTGAAACATCAAAAGTAACACAATTTAAAATTCTTTGACTTGGCTTCAAACTCCAATTAGATTCTTATAAATTTGGTTTAAGTTAGTAGTTTATAAACTACTAAATTATAGTTCTATTTCTGCTTTGAAGGTACTGCCATAAACTAATGGCAGTAGATTCAAAATATGCTAGAATGTCAGTTACCAGACCAAAGAACTAAATTAGAAATGTTAAATTGTGTTATATTATCAAATTTGTAAATGTACATATGTGTCTTTAAAAGCTGCACTAAGGGAAAATTACTAGGCAATAATGTAACTTTGTCTGGTCCAGTTTTATTTTTTCTGCTCTCAGGAATCAATATTTTTTAGAGTTAATCACCTTTGAGTAGAAAATTAAAATTTTTTGATCATAAAAATGTTTCCTCACATATTTTTAAAATCTGAAAGTGATTCAACTTGCATTTTCTAAAACAATATTCATCTCTTGCTGGTTGAATGAGACAAAAAGTTGTCTTGAGAAAATGTAAGACTCTTTTTGGAAAGAGACAACATAAACATTGTTGTTGTCCAAATTTACCAATAAGGAAACATCTTGTATCAATATGAAGTGAAAATATTAAACATTGTTTCACTATATTTATCTTATTTGCAAACCTTGTTTTTCTTTAATTAAAATAATAATTAAATTTTAAACTTTTGTTGTTTTTAATATTAAATCGGTTAATCATTTTTAGTAATTGAAAAATCAGTCCCTCTACTTCATGAGTCATTTTGTTGATACATGTTTAAGTCTTTGCATGTCAAGATCTTGGCTTCATTATTTAACCAACAGACAAATTCCTTTATGCTGTCCTTCATTTTAAACAACAACAAAAAAAGGACAATCTTTCTTGAATTAGTCACTTTTGTGAACGTCATGAAAGATTAAGTGTTGTTATATTGAGATTGTATAAAATAATCCAGATTTTTTATTTTGATTCTGAAAACTTTTGTCAATGAAAATGATTCATTGCCTACTGCTATTCATTCAGCATAGATGACTTCTCGCCTTTGCCCCCAACTGTCCACTTTGGTAGAGTCGGCTGGAAATCTGATGAGAAATTTTCTCTGACATGCTGTTGACAAGCATCACCTAAATTCTGTCTTAAAGACGGTAGTAATTCATTATAAATAAGAACTCGAATGAAAAACAAGTTTAAATTAATAAAAACAGTTTAATTGTAATCTCTAAAAGAAGACTAATTGAATTCTCTAAACACTGGAGGTTATTAAACCAGGAAATGTCTCAAGTCCCAAATCTCCTTTGTACCACTTCACTACGCCTTTGTGCCAGATTAAACTTAATTTATATATATTTCATATCTGTTCATTGTATATGGTTATAGTATGTCTAGTATAGAATATAGTTATAGTATTGCCATTTAATATTTGTTTACTTTGCAGTTAAATCAAATGGTTGTATCACAATTTGAGAAGACATTTTGTGAAAGTCATTAAAAGGCAAAGTCTACTTAGATGATGTTAAAGGATCTGGTTGCAAATAAATCAAACTTTTATTTAGAAAATTCACTAATTTTGTAGATAAACCAAACCTTGTGACAGTTTTGGCTGTTATTTTGTGTTTTATAAAAACTGTCAAAGGATTTGTATCAAATTTAGTTAATTTCTATTAAGACTACAGAATATCATTTGGGTGAAAACAAGAAAAAAATTAGATTAAAAGGATTTCAATTTAAAAATAGAAATGATTTTTCATCAACAACCACCACCACTTCCTCTGAATTGTGTCATCACATACACAAAAAAAAAAAGACTGGTTTTTATATTTAAACAAATTTTGATACTTTTTTTAAGATTTTATTTTTGAAAAACTTGTCTCTTCATTATAATGTTGATGACTGTTTGAGCTTGACTCCAAATCAATCAAGTGAATTTTGGAAAAAAAAACAAAAAAAAAACACTATTTACTGAAGAAATTATTTAGAGTTTTAATGAAGGCATTTGACAATCACACAAATCAAATATTTTGTTGAAGATGGAAAATTATTTATATTACTAATTATTCAGTCGCCATAATTAGAGATTTAATATTTTACAAATATACATATTGAGAAAAGATATATTGTCCATTTTTGACAGTTTAAACATTTTTAACTCCTGTATCTTCAAAATAATAGGAAATTTAAACAATATTTGTTGCAAATTATTCAAAGACCTTTAAATTATTATCTTACATTCTAATGAATTGAAAGAATAAAGGATCCTTTTTATTTCCTTATATTTAACTAACCTATTTTAAATTTCTAAAGTAGAAACCTAAAAGTTATGTTGTTTAGATTTGTATGATGAAATGTCAAATATGGTTTTTATGAGTGCTTCAGGTCTTCTTTATATTATGTCTTTTGAAGATTTTTTTAAAACTTCAGTCCACTTATTTTTTTTCAGATCTTACGTTGCTGTAACTCTCGACTCAGCACAACACGCAAAGAGGCTTGTGCATTACTTTATCTTTTAATGAGATCAAATTTTGAATTTAGTAAGAAAACAAGTTTCACAAGAGTGCATCTTCAGGTAAGTCAAAATGACATCTGTTTTATTTATTTTTAATTTGCCACTTTATTTTTTATTTATTTATTTTTTTTTTAAAACTTTTTTTACAACTATATTTTCACAACTTTTAAGGCCACAGGAAACCACTCCACTATCTTTCCAAAGAAGTCATAGCTATTCACATATAATAAAGAAAGGAATTTGAAAAGACCTGATCACCCACTTCCATGAGAGGCATGGCATTATGATAAAAAAAATAAAAACTTGTGTGTACATATATATGTAACGTTAAACATTTTGGTGTAATTTTTTTTTTTTTTTTACTGTTCTTTGTGTAGACATTCAGATAACCTATATCAGTTCTTGGCCTTTAAACTATTTTTCTTAATGCAATTTCATAATTAAAATCTTGCTGTAATTTTAATAAAAAAGCCAATTGATTTTTCTCTTCAGTGTTGTCATATTAATTTCTGTGAAGCACAACCTGCAACTTTCTCGTTTGTCATAATTGATAATTAAATGTCTAAAATGAGAAAAAAAATTTAATTTCTTCACCACTAAATTTTCTACTAAAAAAAATTGGTGGCAACAAACTTTCTTGAAAGAAAGAAAAATATTTTAATTTCAACAGTTCATATATTTTAATATTTTTATTAAAAGTCATTACACAATTAAAATTAGAATGGCATTTAGTTTTAATCAATGTAAAAGACATGAAACCATTTTCCCCTGTCTGCTGTCCTATCACAAATTTCTTGCCACTGACATGTCATAATGGCTGATATAAAAAATACAAGTAGGTGAATAAACAATTGATGAAAAACACTTTCTAATAATTAGCTATTTTGGTAGTAGAAACAAAATATTGTTATCCTCACTGTTGACCTTTGACAGGCACCAATCTGATGTTTCTAAACATTTCTTTTTTTCTCCTAGGCTTTGCTAAGTTTATTTCTCAGAATGGTTAAATTTGGATAACTCTTACCAATTGGCCATCATAGACTAATCAGTAATGTGTGAGCAGGAAAAGGCTGGCTCTTTCAAATAAGGAATATGGCATTCAAATTCAATGAGATTTAAGATTTGTGTTTTATTTATTTCTCATCATTACTATTTAATAACCATTAAATGTTGAGCTGGAAATTAGAGAGCGGGCAGGGGGGGATTTCAGCACAAAATATAAGATGAAAGAAATATCCCCCCCCCAAAAAAAAAATTAATAATTGTTCAAATATTTCTGCAACTGTGCCTTTCTTTTGTATCTAAAAACCTTTATCCTTTTTCATGTGTAAGCTTATTCTAAAACATTAAATGGTCTGGGAGTCTTGTTCTATTGGGCAAAACCATAGAAAAGAATTAGACATTTAGTAATTTTTAAAAATTCCGTTCATTTATCAAAAATTTATAATTCTTCAATGTATTTCCGAAGCCTATTTGTGTTGCTCACAATACAAATCAGCTTGGTGTATTGCATCATGATCATAGGCAATCCTGCTTATTTTCTTTAGAGAATCATTGTAACAAATTTTTTAATGCTTGTTAATATTTTTGCAAATTTTAACAAATGTACCTACCCACAAAAAGCACTTAGGAGGCACAGTGTAGTAATGAATAGCGGCTCGGATTGAGGAATCGGAGAGTCGAGTTCAAATTCCATTCAAATCTATTACATTCACTTACATGCTAATACCCTTAAAAAGGTATGAATCCAACTATGGGTAAATAGCAGGGCAGACCAGGTTCTATAGCCTTTGATGGCAACTGGTTTACCGCAGAAAGAAATGACAACCTACTGCAGGAAAAATCTGCCTCATCAGTCATGTATCAAAAAGATACATGATTACCTAAGCATGTACCACACATGGCACATAACTGACTGACTGACCCACCAAAAACATGTGTATTAAAAGGATCTTTTTTTTCTTTTTTTTTCTTTTTCTTTTTTCTAATACAGCAGTTTTTATTGTTTAAATATGCTATTTTTAGAATTTTGAATAAACCCCAAATGAATGAAACTGGATTTAGACATTTTTTTTTTCTTGACTCTCAACTTAGTGAATTTACGTGGTGAAAGCAAATTAACCTTTTATCATTCTGTATGTGATTTCATTTGCTGTACAAAAAGTTAATCCTGCCACTGAAGGTGACCTGATCTCTGAATTTGAATTTCATAGTTGTGTTGTCACATCCTGCTATGGCAATAGAAAACAACTTTGAGTGAAATTAACAATAAGGATACTGCAATAAGGATTTGAAAAAGAATGTAGTTGAAAAGGAAGTGATATTAATAATGCACAGTACGAAAGGTTAAAGAAATTTTCAAAAAAATCATTGTTTGCTTTCAAAGTTTATAATTGCAATTACCTGTCGTTATGTCTTTATTTAAGTTTTCTTGTTCACTGACATTTTTATAATCTCAGTAATAAAACAATTTGTTTTCATCATTATTTCTTTATAATATGGTAAATAATATTGCATTGTAACTGGTTTACATATTTATATAATCTTGTAAAGATAAAATTAATCTTGTAAATAATCTAATAAAATAAATAGTGTTTAATATTTTTGTTGTCAATTCTCGAGAAAAATGAAAATGCATAAATCCAATTTCATAGAATTGGTCTTTGTTAAAATTTAAAAATAGGTTTGTAAATCAATAAAAATTGATGAGGGGCTATACAATAATAGCAGTGTCAAGAGAGAAAAAAAAACATCCATTTTGACAGCATTTTTTGGATGGGAGGGCATTGTAGGTACATTTGTTAAACTTTACAAACATTTCATTGGTTCTATTTCAAGGAAAGGACTTTCTTAATTATTATTGATGATTAATATCAAAATTACATTTGACCTTTTGCTGGTGAAGAATATTTTAGTGAATCATTTTATTCATTCATATTTTTTAAATTTAAGATGTTTTTTATATTTCTCTTCTATTTTAGGTGATAATATCTGTGTCTCAGCTCATTGGTGATGTGGTGGGAATCTGCAATTCATATTTTCAAGAAAGCTTAGTGATGGTTAACAATTATGCAAAAAGTGACAAGGCTATGCAGGTGAGAGATTTTTTTTTTGTACTTTTAGTTTTTAATTCAGCTGAGGCTTTTATATATATATAGGTAACTATACTCGTCTCGAAAAACCTTCAAATTTTTGATTTGCCAATAATCAAATCAATCTCGAAGGAAAAAAAAAAGGTTTTAAAAAAAAAAAGAAAGAGCTAGAAACATGAATGTCTGTCGAAAAAAATCGCACAGATACAGGTTTAAAGCCCAAAGAAAAAACCCCAACATGTGTAAACAACTAACTAAAAGAGCTCAATACAACCATAGAGCAGACCTAGTCAAACCTAGTGAGCCAGACAAACCTACCCAGGTTTCACCTAAGCCGATCGTCAGGGAAAGCTGACGATCAGCTTAGGTGAAACCTACAGTAGGTTTGTCTGCTCACTATTTTATATATATATATATATATATTATATATATATATATATATATATATATATATATGGAATAATGGAATTTTTTTCTATGTCATAAGGCCAAATAAATGGCATTGGAAGATTGTGCTGTAGCAGTTATTCATTTGGGGAGAACCTACTTGAATTTCTTCATTTGTTTCACTTTCTGTAAAACTCTTTCACTGCTCAGCAGTTCCAACAAGTTCAAGACACTGAAAAATTACTCAAAGAAATAATGGAATCAAAATGACAATCTTTCTTGTACTGAAAGGTGGTACAAGGCTGTAGAAAAATGCAAAAGTGTTTTCATAATTGAATAATGATAATATGATTTAATATTAATAAAAGATTTTGCCAAAAAAATGCTGTAAATTTCTGCATTAACCTAATAATATTAATCTTGAAGCTGATGAAAAATTCAACGTCTGAGAAGTGAAATTTACTTGAATTGCTTCCAAGATAAAGTCAATATTTAGACTGAAAAGTTATTTTGCTACTGTTTAGGAATTTATTAGGATTAATTAATTCAATAATGGATAAAGAAAATATGATAAATGTATTTTGAGGGGTCAAATTTACTTTCTTTATTTTTTTTTATTTTTTTTTCTTTTCTTTAAAGCTTTTACTTTTTCTATTTTTTTTATGTTGAGTCTATTTTATATATATATATATATATATATATATATATATATATAATAAGAAAGAACAGTAAGATTTACAATCTGGTGTTCTTAGTAATTATTATTTTTAAAAAACAGTGCTCAATGCAAAAACAGTAGAGTATAACATTATAATTATTTTCTATTCTAAAAATATGGTTCCATCACTACACTTTCCAAAAATCACTTGAGAATGGAACAGAGCTATGGATTTTAAATTTAATTTTATAATTAAATTTAAAATTCTTTTTACTAATGGAATGCAAAGAGAATGAGGATGTTTTGCCTCCATGTACATGGCATGGTGAATTTTAGTTGTAAAGGTCTGAACTTGTGAAAGTAAAGAATGTCGCTGCTCAGAACAATTTTCTATGGAAATTGTGATAAGAGTAACAATCAGCTCATGATGTTTCATCTATGGGAAAGTGATTATAGGGTGGAAAATAATCCATCACCCACAAGACTGTAAATACTTTTGAATTCTGTCAAAGCGAGAAAAGAGGTTTGGGTAGCCATACTCTACTTTTGGTCTGATCTGACTCTGGTAAAGATTCTAATATGTGTGTTTCTGAAGATTTTTAAATTAGAAAGGCTTGACCCTTATCATATATTATCACTTCTGTTATCAGACACACTATGACATTTATTACTTGGCATTAGGATGAACTGCTGCTATTTTTATTATTGAGTTATCAAATATTAAAGTTGTTTGTTTGGAGTGGTGATGTTTTATTATATAAATTCAATGTATTTCTCTTGTATACACCTAAAAGTTCAAGTAAAAAAAAAAAATAATGGTAATATGTTTTCTTCTCTTGCAGAAAACCAGTTTCCCTCATGAAGTAAAAGATTTAACAAAGCGTATTCGGACAGTCTTGATGGCAACAGCTCAACTCAAAGAACATGAGAAGAACCCTGAAATGTTAGTTGACCTGCAATACTGTCTGGCAAAATCCTATGCCAGTACACCAGAACTTCGCAAGACTTGGTTGGAATCCATGGCTAAAGCTCATATTCGGACTCAGGATTTTTCAGAGGTAAAATTTTGTTTGTTTTGTTGTTTACTTGAAACCTTCAACTGCAGATGACAGAAATTAGTATTATTGCCATCTTGTAGCTCAACTTCAGAAGATGGAAATATCTACAACAATTGATTTCTTGTTTTCCTTTCTAATATTCATACATCTTTTATATATATATATATATATATATATATATATATATATATAATCTTTATGAACCCCCAAAATAAAACTTTCAAAGTAAAGCAAAATAACAGCGTCTGTTTCTAGCCTTTTTTTTTTTTTTTACAAAGAAAATTAGTGACATCTTCTCTCTTAACTTCCTTCCCTCTTTTTCTCTCTGGGTTTTTTTCTTCTCTACCGCTTCGATATCAATATATAACTTCCGTTAAGTTAACCGTTTAAATGTGTCAATATCTGCTAATTCACTTATCTCTTCTCTCTCCCCCCTCACTTTCTTAATTTACATATGTTTAATACGGCCTGTCAAAAATGTGTAAATTTTCTTTTCATTTTTTTGTTTGGAAGTAAAGTCTGATGATCCGCAGTCCTTTTAAAAGGGCTGTGGTGAAATAATTTATTACATGAAACCTTAAAGTGGTCTGTTTTTATTTAAATTATTTGCTCTGAATTTACATTGAGCTCTCTGGATTTTATCCTCCTTAGGTTACCCATACGGATTACCTAGTTTTTCATTAACTATATATATATATATATATATATATATATATTGGATTGGTGCAAGTTTGAAGGTTACAGCCAATTAAATAAATAGCATGCATATCTCGGCATACCTTCCACTTTTCAAAATAGCCTACTTTCACTCTCCCTAATCTCACCCTATAGTCTGAAATCTCCCTCTCAGGTTTAGTTTTAGGAAAAGTTGAAGGCATCTGTATCTGGACTAAAGGAATAGCTAACAGTGATACAAAATTTTATCCAGAAACATGCAAAAGATATTAATAAAAAAATGGGCAGACAGATGATAAATACATTGGTATACAAACTTAACTTGGAATGTGTACTGATTGAGTAACTGCACAGGAAAGTGTTCACCTGAGTGCAATAAGGTCTACCTTAGATTGGCTATCACAACTAGTTCTCAAAATATTCGGAATGCTTTGATGCTTTCTGGAGAAACTTTGTACATTTGTATAAATAGAGAATATTTTGCATGATACCATTTGCAAAATAATGTAAAACTTGGTTTTGAACCTCAAAGAAAATGAGTTAAATCAGATGAACTTTTTTTTGTGTGTGTGTAATTTTGTAACTCATTGATGCTGCCTGCTTGATGGGAGCAACAAAAGACAGGAAGCTGTGGAAAACCATAACCCCCCACATTCTGGAGGGTGATGATGCAAAGTCATATCTGTGAGGTACACAGTTATACATTTCCACTAAAACTAGGGGTAAGAGAGCCTATCAGCCAAAATGTAATCATAGCAAAAGACAGCATAAAGATAATAACATGAGATTTATTAAATTATGAAACAATGACAGAATATGTCTGTTAGTAATTAAGAAATTTTTAATGTTCATTCATTAATGAGTTTTCCTGACTAAGAGACTAATTAATAGATTAATTTGTAACTCGCAAAATAAGTCTCAGTAGTTTTTCATTTTTAATTGCTGTATGTTAATTCACCAAATAAAGGTTTAACCACCCCCACATATATATACATACACACACACACATACATACATATATATATATATATATATATATATATATATATATATATATATATATATATATATATATTCCAAAATTTGCTTCAGGATGAAATGGAACTAATGTTTTTAATTTAATTACAAAATTAAATTTGAAGCTTTTCGCTTCCATTTTTGAAACATGGTTATTACTGTGTAGCAAAAAAAAACATTTATAATATATATATATATATATAGGCAGTAAGAATTCATCCAACAAAGTCTATTGAAGTTTTTATATTGTTGTTAGTCAAATATCTTTCTAAGCATACTGATTACCCATAACTCTCGACAGCAAACGTGACACTCAAATATAAGGTAAAAAAAAAAAGAACTTTGGTTAGTTTATTAATAATTTGAATCCCAATGTAAAACACCTCAGTCAGAAATTGGAAAAACAATCTAAAAAGAGTTTAATAAACTGACCTTGTTGGTATTTTTAATAAAACTTGTTGATAGATATGTAGGTAGGTAGGTAGTTAGGTGAAGGTCATTCATTGACACCCCCAACACCACCAATAAGGACCCTTGAGAGAGACCCCTTAGTCTTTGTTAGGACATCTCCCTAGAAGAAGAAAAACTCTGATCTAACACCTGCGGCACACAAGCAACTGTGGATGTTGATGTTCTTTTCTTTTCTCAGATCATTGCTTGTGTTGCTCAGAGAGTAGAATTGAACCTGTACACAATCTTACTTCACTTTAAAAATTTCATGCACAATTTTTTGGGGGATCCATCTGAGTGGTGTGTGTTGTTAGTCATAGCGTTAAAAGGCATAAATATTAAGATGGTTCACAACATTATTACAAACACTGTTGGTTTGAAAATGGCAATCAGATACTAGAAAACGTACCTAATGGACACGACTGCCAAGTTTGTGAAAAACAATACAAATCATTGGCCAGGCTTAAAGGTCATGTTAATGTATGGCACCAATGAATCTTTGCAGGATGTTGTGTGATTGTCGTGTTGGATAATGGGAAGGTAGCTATCATATAAAATATATGTCTAATGACAGTAGAATGCCTGGCTTTGAGTTTTTCTTCAACACTTGATCCCACCACAAACCAAGAAAGTGTTTCAAGAACCATTTAAAAGAATCTCTTGCAAGCTGACATATAGAAAATCCTGGAAGAGGAAACTGCTGCTTTTAATCGAAATATATGGAATTTATGTAAGCACTAACATCTTCCAAGAACATGCAGTCATGTCAAGTGTACAGCCAGGAAAGGGGAAATCATTGATCAAGCAGTTTACATGTGATGAATGTGGCAGAGTATGTCTTTCCAACACAGGCCTCATTAGCCACAAGAAGATTAATCATGGTAATCTTCTGACAAATTACACTCATAGGTATGCTGGGAATAATGTGCTGTGTGCTAGAAGACCTGCAGAAACTGCACTTGTCTCAAATGTCACATGAAAAGACAAAAACAACCTGAACAGAATTTACAAAATAGGCCAGGCTCTGTACAAAACAACTTATCAGGTCATCCTATAAGTTCTGTCCGGATTTTGAATAAAGAAAACAAGTGACCAAATGTTACATTTAATTACAGATTCAATCAATAATGTATTTTCCCTGATTATCTATGACTTCCTTCCATCTATTAACAAGCTTACTAATTCCATTACTGTAAAATTCCTTTGGCTTTGATTTGAAGAACTCACAAATGTCACTTTTAACCTCTTCCTGTGTTACAAAAGCTGTTTCTTCCAAATGATTCTGTAAGATACAAAACAAATGGTAGTCTGAAGGAGCAAGATTGGGAGAATAAGGTGGATGAGGAATTTTCTCCCAACCAAGTTCTTCGATCTTTTGTGACGTGATTCTTGCTGTGTGGGGTCGCGCATTGTCCTGATGAAACGTCACCCCTTTTTGATTCACTAGAGCAGGTCTTTTTTTCCTCAAAGCTTGGTTCAAACGCTCTAATTGCTGACAGTATATTTGAGCATTAATTGTTGCATTAGGTGGTAAGAATTCAAAGTGGATTATTCCTTGGCGATCCCACCAGATTGAAAGAAGAACCTTTTGCCCATGAAGTCCCCTTCTCGCCTGTGGCTGGGGTCCTTCCCCTTTACCAAGCCACTGTCTACGACGCTTAACATTTCGATAAAAGATCCATTTTTTGTCACCAGTCACAAGTCTATCCAAAAAAGGTGAAACAAGTTGGCGAGAATGGAGAGAAGAGCAGATGTCAACACTGGATTTGAGGTTGTTTTCAGACAATTCATGAGGCACCCATTTTCCAAGTTTAAGAACTTTTCCAAGTTGTTGAAGATGACGATGAACAGTTGTATGGTTTGAGCTGAGAAACACTGCCAATTCCTCAACTGATAAAGCAGGATTTTCTTCAAGGGCTGCTTCAAGAAGCTTTTCATTAAACTCAACTGGACGTCCGGTTCAATCTTCATCTTCAAGGATGAAATCTCCACCTCTGAATTTTGCAAACCATCTTCTGCAAGTTCTTTCATTCACATATTCCTCTCCATAAACTGAGTGAATGTTTCTAGCTGCTTTGGCTGTTGAGTTTCCTTTCTTGAACTCATAAAGCATTATGTGTCTCAAATGATTCTTTGGTACTTCTATGTTAGCAGGGTTTTAATCAAACAAAATTTGATTTTATTGTTCTCTGAAATAAAATTTGAACAGTTTAAATCCATCTAAACATAAAAATAATGTTCAGCTCCATTAGACATTATAAAATACTCTTTAAATTTTGTTCATTTTAACAAAAAGTTAAAATTCGGACAGAACTTATGAGATGACCTGATAGTTTGCCACATCTGTAATAAGCATTGCAATTATTTGCTGGTTTTGAGAGCCATTGTCTTTTTCACAACAGCTAAAACCCTGGATCAAACTTGTCAGTGATGGTCAAGCTCATTTAACAAATTGGCAGTCATGTGTATAAAGTCTGCAGAAAAGTTCTGATAAATCATATGATCAATGATATTGGAAATCTGATAGTGATATACTGAATGATACTTTTGTTATTCTAAAATAAATGATAGTATATGATAATAATAATAACACATTACAACATGTTTGTAGGGTTTTCAGAGTTAATTTGTTCTACTAGAATTTAACTTTATTTACTTGATCCTCCTGTAAACTATTTACAAACCAAACATGTATTTTCAAGCTTCTATACCATTAGACGCTAACTAATAATTAACAAAACTTTAATAATGAAGAAATTCTGATTGAATATAAATATTTTTTTTTCTCAAGCTCAGTTTTGTTTGACTCTGCCATCTCAGTTTTTCTTCAGAGCTGTTGTTGTATCTTAAATTTTTACAAAGTTTGTGTCAGTATCAATTAACTTTTGAACCAATGACCAAATTTCTTAATTGGACAAGAGTATTTTTAACAATGTTTTTTTTCAATCTTGTAGTTAATGAGACAAACAGTGCACAGATGTTTTCTCCAACTCTTATGGCTGAAACAATTTGCATTTTATTTTCAACAAATGTTTTTAGGATCTTTATTATTTTGTTAAACAAATCAGTTTTGACTTTCCAAATCTGAAGCACATTGTCAATGAACATAAGTTTAAAAAAGAAAATGTATAATGTCACTTAAATCTCTGTAGTAAATAGAATTAGTTAGTTTCTTTGTATCTTCCAAAACATGAATTTCAGAAGGGATATACTTATTAAAACAAATATATCTCCAGAACATTTTTTTTTGTTTTCATTTGAAATTAAATAGAATGTCTTTGTTTACCAAGCTAAAATTTGTTTCCCTGTTTCTTTGTGTGATTCCAGTTGCTAAACAATAGGGACATAAACTAAACAGCTAAAATATCTTTAACTGAATTCAAGAACTAAGTTATCGCAGTTGAAAGGCTTTGCTATAGAGTGGATGGGGGGATATTGCTGAGCACTGAAGATTAAATATCATATCTGTTGCAGAGATGTCAAAAGGTAAATAGAAGCTGTTTCATCTATGATTTAAGTACTTTTTAAAAGGGGGTCATGTATTATCTTTAAATCTTTTTGTCTACAGCCATTTCTCATGTGATTACTTTTTATTTGTTTATTTTATTTATAGGCTGCCCATTGCTATATCCACATAAGTGCCCTCGTATCTGAATATCTCCGAAGGAGAGGTAAGCTGATTTTGTTTATTTAAGGAAAGAAGTTATAGCCTATTAAACAATGTTACCTTATTTATTTTTTTTCTATTAATGAACATTAGTGTAATAACACCTTCAAGATTTATATACTACGATCTTTCCTAATAGATTAGTAAAATCTTTTAGGAGAAAAACTAATATCTTATGTCAAATATAACAAGACTTGTTTCATTTTGGGCAAAATGATGTAATAGACATAGTCATGTGTGATATAATACATGACCCATATAAATGTTAATGTGCCCTTAAAAGAAACCTCATGTCAATCCTTAGGTTATTTAAAAGATCATATGTGGTATTACAATCTTCACTAAAATATTTTTTTTTCTCATATATTAACTAACGTATCTGATATACTTTTTCTCTTTTTGTATATTTTGAGCATATTAATTCAATTTTTTTTCATGGCTTCATAGACGTTTTTTGTAATGAAATTAATTCTTTCTTGCATATATAGATCAAAATCCAATAAAATGATAGGATAAAAACAAATAGGAAATGTTTATAAATCCAACATGTTTAGCTTTTATGGAAGCTTCATCAGAGAATGAGATATGGAAAAATTTTCTGGTATTCTTATTTTGGTGATGTTTTATTTTCATTGTAGGTGACATCTGCTTAATCAATGAAAATCAGAAAAAATAAAAATACCAGAAAATCTTTTCCATATTTCATTCTCTGATGAAGCTTTAATAAAAGCTAAACATGTTAGATTTATAAACATTTCCTATTTGTTGTTTATCCCATCATATGCATGTGTGTTGTTTTCTGTTTTTGTTTTGTTTTCTAATCGCAGGTTAAGTTTTAAATAAATTTGATTTCAAATTACAAAAACTCTAAAGGACACTTGAGGAAAATAAAATTAGTCAGAGATTTTGAAAACCTACAAGTCTCTCTCTTTCTAGTAATCTCTTTCAAATTTTGGTCTTAATTTCACTAATAAGTATTACATTGATTTTTTTTTTTTTTTTTTTTTTTTTAAGAATTATCATTTAAACAGATAAAATTTCAAAATCAAGTGTTTTTTTTTTCTTTACATTTTTTAGTGCTGGGATTTGTGTTAAAAAATTTGTTAATTAATCTTTTTTACTTTTTAAGAAATGGTTCAATAAATACAGTCATCAGTATAATGATTATAGTGTGTTATATATAGTTTTGGTCATGGTTGTGAATCTTGCAAAAGTTCATAAAAATACTTATGTGGATATACAAACAAGTTTGTATATAAATTGGTTTTGAAAAATGAAGAGAATTTACTCCCTAAAACTATTAAGATCTGTTTCAGTGGCTTCTGATTGCTGCATGGAAATAAGAAATTTTTTATTGTAAAAAAATTAATTTCTTTCACAATTTTCTCTGTATTTTAGATCAAATTTTGTTTCCAGAAACTGTCAAGCAAAAAACAAAAAAAGCAGCTAATGAAGAATTATCAAATTATTTGTTAATGCCAAATACATTCTGATATAGAAATGTTCAAATTAGAAACTTTCAGAGATATAAACCAATCTGTTAAATAAGCCAAAAAAGTTACAAACTTAAAAAGCTATAAGCTTTCAGAGATATAATCCAACCTAATTTTTTGTCAAGCAGTAGCAATGTAAATTGTTCAGGCTAAGCAGCAAGACTTCCAAAGGGGTAAAGGAGTTATAACTTTATTGTTGATTGGAAACAACAGCAATAAATATTGCAAATATTTTTTTTTCTCTATCAAAATAGATTTTTGTGCGATCAAATGTATTTTTTTGTTTGAACTTTTTCTTCAACAAAAGATAGTATCTCCAGTAATATTATAAAACATTTTTTCATACATAGTAACCATTTCAACTTAGAAACAAGTTAGTAGTTTGTGGTTTCTAAGTAGGGACAATCCTTTGTTTATTTTGAAAAATAACACCATAAGTGACTTCCTAAACTTGAAAGTCTAAAGCAAATTGGGTTGCAGCTTGCTAAGAATCAAGACGTTGATATAAACAAAAAAGAAAAAACTTTTTAAACAATGGGTAATGAATTTCTAATATGAAAATCATGTATACACATAAAGACTTAAACAATACAAGTGTTGCTGAACAGATTGCTTTCAAGAAATACTAGTAAACATCACACACACTTTTGATTGTACTAACAGCATTCATTAAAATTGTCAGTCAATAATGCATTTCATTGTTAAAAATGGGGGGAAAAATGAATGAATTTCTAAATTTAAAAAACTGATAAATGCCATCAATTTTAATGTTTTTCTATTTATCTCCTTCATGAGCTGATGATAAAAGGTTCTTAAAAAAACAAAGAGGGATTCTATAAAACATTTGGTTAGATTTTAGGAAGTCTGTCAAACTGAGAATCTTTCAGCACTACCTCATAAAATAAAAAAAAATATCTAATTGAAATAAATTAAAAACCTATCAATATTTCTGTTTGACATACAAGATTGTTTGATGCTCTAACAAAATCAGAACAGGTATTCCTTTTAAAGAGTTCCAGAAATGATGAAATGTTATTTTTATTGAAGCCCCATAAGAAGAATGATGAAAACAGGATAAATTATTTTTGAGGACTGGGTGTTTGAAAATCAAGGCTTAGTCATAAAATTCTATGGAGCAAAAACATTAAAATAGTGATTAGAGTTTATTTAAAAAAAAATCTTTACTATTTTTTCTTGCCTGTCTATTTAATAAAGTTGAAACATGTATCCTTTTTATATAAGAAATCTCAGGAAGTGATGAATTATTATGATCCCATGCTGAAGACACAAAATTTAAGAAGAAACATGAAGATGATAATTTTGTTTTCATTAAATCCACTCATTTATTTTCTCCAGTCTTTTGTGATGATCATAATTATATATACCCACCCACCCCTTATTCGTAGGCCTTAAAGAGACCTTGATGTATATTGTATACTGAAATGTCAAAATTATTGTTATTTTGATTTATATTAACCTGTTCATTTCTCTGTACCATTGAAAGGTGATAAAGCATACTCTGGTCCAACCCTTGAAAGGTTAAAATGTACTTGTTATGAGTAGAATATAAAAGCAAGCATCATTGTTGCTTTTTCCACAGTCAAGGGTGACAGTTGAACTGGGAAGAATGGCAGGGCACAAGAGAAATCATTTTACACAACAAAATCAATCTATATGATGACCTATAAGACTCCCCTCAACCCACATAGAAAACCTCCCAGCCCCAATTTCAACAAGGAATCATGAAGGAAAAAAAATTAGTGCACAAACTGGATGATTCCCCTCCCCCCCGCATACACACACAACAGAAAGAAATGACTATACAGCAAGGATAAAAGACCAACAGAATTGCTGATACCCTTGTTGTTAGTTTTGTCCAAGCATTTAATACTGTTAATATATGTAGCTAGAATATTGAAGAAGAAAAAAAAATAAAACTTGGACAAAACTGGCAATAAGGGTATCAGGAATTCTGTTTTTCTTTTATTATTATTTCCTTTGATCACTGTTTTGTTTTTTTTTAATCTAAAACACCCCAAGCAAGGCAACAAAGCCACTAAAACACAAGGGGTTGGAAGGGTGTGGAGGAATTAGGAACAAAAACATTACTAATGAATAGAAAAAGAAAAGAGTAATTAGGAGGACAGAAGATAGCGATTGACATTGCATTTAAATTTTTGCAGATTAAAGTGGGCTGGAAAGCATGGAGCCAGAACAGAGTTCGACAAATGAGAAGTGTGAGAAAAGAAACTTAGCATAGAACTTGTGTTTACATCTCAGCCAGCTCAACTATAAATTGGTGAGATCTTAACACCAGTCTAGTACTGCACTTAAATTCATGAAGCCTCAGTACCATAGCAAAGAGCTAATCAGATCAATTACCGTGAAAGTATTTATAGAAAAGGCACAGGGAGACAACCTCACGGTGAGTAAGTGCCTGAAGCTGAGCTGCCAGATCAGGACCAATAATATTGCAGATTCTTCTTTGGATCTTATCAAGGAGCTCAAGGTAAATAGCAGGGGCACCAGACCATGTGTGGCAGCAATATTCTAAGCTTGAATGACTAGTAGACTAATAGATATGCAAGGTAGATTCTGGAATGAAAAATTGTCTTGCACCACACAGTGAAGCGACTTGTTGTATAGTCATTTCTTTGTTGTGTGTGTGTGGGGGGGGGTGTTGTCCAGAGAACTAAGGTTAGAAATGGCATAGCATTTTCCACTATACACCATCACTCCCAAAAACACAAAATTTTAAAAATGATAAAGCTCTTTGTAGGGCATTAGCTGTGCTTAAGGATTTTGTTTGTATTTCCTTAATGCATTGGCTGCCAGAGATCACTTCATTGAAGTCTATCAGATTTCCTAATCAAACCTTGGGTCCCAACTACAAGTGGAATTATTGATGTGTTCATGTCATCTTATCATTGTTATTATTGTTACCATTGACCTCATCATTTACAAGAAGGTGAATATTAGAATTACAGAGACTTTAATTTTTTATACAAAACCCATCAGGACATTATTATTATTATCATCATCATCATCATCATTGCCTCTTTTTTTTCTTTTTTCTGTTTTTGTCTTTGAGAAGAAAAAAGTGGGATTTTATATGCCTTCAAACTTCAAATACAGTGCGCACATGTTTATTGCTGCCTAATTGTAATAAAAATAACTGAAGTGTTAAATGCTAACATATTTCCTTCACTATCACACAAATTTATCTTTTCTAAAGACAGTGTTCTTAATATTCACAGATCTTTCTGTTTAGACCAACACAATGTCAAATGGGGTGAAAATGTAGGGAGGGGGAATGTGAAGTGAATCTTTCAATTAGAGAGAAAACTCATCTTGAAAATCAGTTTTTTTTTTTTTTTTTTTTTTTCTAAACTTGTTTCTGGTATGAAAGGAATATTACTTATGATAATGTTCTAAAGTAACATTGTTTGTTCTTTGGTATATCATACCAAATAACTCAGGGGTTTAAGTTGTTTCTTTATATCGGTAATAATTAGTTTCAATGA